GCCACAGTCGCGGTGCTTGTTTGATTCCGTACAGTGATTTTTTGAGCTTGCAGACACTCGGCGGATTTGTCGGATAGGTGTGTGGATATTCGACGTAGATTTCGGCATCGACGTCGGCGTACAGAAAAGCGTTGGAAACATCGATTTGTCGAAGTGGAAAATTCTTCGCGGCTGCTTCGCAAAGAACGAGTCGAACACTCGTATGTCGACTGACCGGGGCGAAAGTAAGTGTATATTCGATCCCATGAGTCTGATCAAAACCACGAACCACCCATCGTGCCTTGTGTTTCTCGTAAGTACCATCCGCTTTAGTCTTCACCCTGAAGACCCACTTAACGGTAAGAACATTTATGTTTACCGTTTTTTCAATGGGTATAAGATCCCAAGTTCCCCTTTTCTCCAGGGCAGCCAGTTCGCGATCCATCGCTTCACGCCATTTTTCGCGATGAGGCCCTGAGAGAGCTTGTCGGGCAGTTTTCGGCTCCAAATTCACTATAGAACTGTGCTGTACCGCTGCTGCGAGTCCCAAAATTTGTAGTCCGGTTTGATAATGCGGATTATCGTCGGTGCGACCTGCGAAATTGACAGAATCATTCTGGTCTCCACTTGCCCCCCCAATTTCGTCAGGGTTGACACGGATGCTGCTATCAGAAACCACCGGCATTGGTTGGCGTTGTTCATCCACGAGGTAAGTATGATGAACATCCCGAACATCCTCAGGTGCCGTGTCAGCAAGAGGAATAAACTCTGGAATTCCGGATGACGTGACAGGGACAGGTGGGTCGGGAGCAACTTCACGTGCACCGTCAGAGTCAGGTTCTTCGCTGGCAGCAATTTCGACATCGGCGTTAGCAAACGAACGAACACCGTGGAAAAGCGTGGCAGGGTTTTGCTGTGAAGCAAGATGCTGTTCGAAGACGGGCAGCGTCAGATTCTCGTAGAAAATACAGTCGCGAGCAGGAACAAGGAGACGACTGCGATAATCCATGATACGCCAGGCAAAATACTGTTTTTCAATGCCGAGATGCAGCCCCCACTTAGCACGCTGATCGAACTTCCCGAGCTGAGCGGTAGAAGGACGGTACTGAACAACACATCCGAAAACACGAAGTAATTTAGTTGTACCCAACTTGCCCGTCCACAGCAAGTGGGGTGATGCGTTGTTGGGCAGGGCCGAAGACGAAAGAAGATTGTGCAACAGCGTTGCATGGTCCATGGCGAAAGGCCAGTAGAGTGGGCCGAGTTGAGCCTGGGCAAGAAGGGCTCGCATCTTCTCTTGCAGAGTCCTGTTGAGCCTCTCTGCTACGCCACTCTGCTGATGAGCGTGAGGCAACGAAAAAAGTCGTCTTATCCCGCGTTCTTGCAGATAGTCCTTGAACTCAGTACTGCGATACTCGCCGGCGCCGTCACACTGAAACGCCTTGAGCTTAGTATCAGACTCTCGTTCGGCGAGAGGAAGCCAGGTGCGGAAAGCTGTAAACGCAAGAAAACGGTTAGTCATGTTTCCAGTCCAAACGTAACGAGTGGAAGCATCTGTAAATGTGATAACGTAGTGTTCGCCGTTGAAACCAGCCGCAGGTAAGTTGAGTATATCGCTATAAACCTTATCCATCAGATGATAATCTTCAGCTCCAGGGAAATGAGTCGGGAACGGCTCGTGCGGTAGATTTGCTGCAGGGCAGATGGGGCAGGGTGCCGGGCGATTCACCGGCTTCAGTTCGAGACCGCTCGGTAAAAGTAACGAATTCTTGTCAAGCACTGCAGCCTTGATCGTGTTGTTTAGCGTAAATTGCGACGGATGACCAAGTCGCTTATGCCATGTTTCTCCCGTGGCTTTGTGACCTTGTGCGTGCAGATAATACTCGGCGTTAGCGAAGAACGACAACAGAAGCTGATGACCATCGGAGCGGATCTGATCGAAAGCAGGTGCGACGTAACGAGTAAGATTTGGTGGTGGAACACGAACCTCAACATCCACGTACTCGCCTGGAGCAAGTACTAACTCGCCGCTTTCTTGATCAGATGCTGCAGGTACTGGTTCAACTCCAACGAGACGACCCGAGTCAAGAATCTCCATATCAGCGACGCGTTGTTCAGCTTCAGCGAGAAGACGAGCAGCGCGTTCAGCAGGCGTCTCGCCCCAAGTTGTTTCATCGGGTTCGTCAGCCCCCCAGATGCCGTCATTAGTCGGCATGTTCGTCGGATCACCCCAACCTTCAACTACAGCCATGTACTCCCGGGAGTTCTGAACATCATTCAAGCCTTGATCGTCGAAGGTCAACATGACGGCGGCAGCTGTGGTTGAAGATGTCGGGACAACTCCCTCACGTGGAACTGTATCGTCGGTGTAATCAATGTCGTCGCGATGCTCCCAAGGACCAAGCGAGAGAATGTTATCAGAGTCAGCAGTAGTGCGCTCAGGTATGAAGTTCAAAACGAAAACACCGTTTTGCTCAACTGCCGTGCCGAGTTTCTTTTCACCGTATTTCAGAGTGAATTTTCCAGGTTCACCGAGAAGTGTAATCCCGTTCTTCATGAGCTGTGCAGATGACATGAGGTTGAAGCCAAGCCGAGGGACCAAAAGAACTTCGTTCAGGTGAAGACTGAAGTCTTCTTCAACTGAGATTGACGACAATGGGATTCTCCAGACGGCGTTGATTCACGATGAAACGTGTCTCTGACGAACACATGTGCTGACCACAGCAACTGTCGAGGTACCAAGTATTGGGACCTGCAATAGTATGTGCAAGATTTGCATAGACCTCAGGTGGAATCGGTGTGTTGAGTTCGTTGTTGAACCGGTTGTGAATCCGCTCTTCAGCATCAGGATCATAAACCGTTGAAACTGATGTCATGCAATTAATAACTGCTTTTGTTTGTGTTTTGGCAGGTGCAGTAGTCGGCTTCGCAGAGGTCAGCTTCGCAGTATTCTGCTTCTCAGCGTCCGGCTTCTCTGCTTCCGGCTTCTCTGCTTCACTTGAAGAATCTTTGTTATATTTCGATGCAGACCGCCTCCAAGATGGTTTGTCTTTCGACCAACAAATATCAATAGTGTGTCCTGGTTTTCGACAAAAAGAACAAACGGGCTTGTGACGTGGATTAGAATAAAAGCTGACTGTGTTTACCACCTTTTTCCCTCCTCGAGCGTTGTGCAGATCCATATCCTGCTGCTCGGCGATGAGAGCGGCACAGAGTGCGCCCTCGGACAACTGTGCTTGCATCCGAAGTATTGAGCGACACTGTCGCCATTCTGGTCCAAGACCCGCGAGTAGCACCGTGTGGAACATAGCGTCGGGGAAGTACCCTCCACACTTCTGAAGTTGATCGCGCAGATTTCGAGCGCGGTTAATATACTGCGTCACCTTCTCGCCGTTTGTCATTTGTATATTTGACAGCTGCGTCAAAATTTTACTCTGGTTGACAGTATCCTTTGCCATGTGAACCCCTTGCAGGTATAACCAAGCTGCTTCAGCGGGGGCGGCACTGTTACGGAAAGAACGAATTCCGAGCTGTTCAGTCGGTGTCAGATTACGAACGAGAACTATGTATGCAGTCAGCGACGCCGATCGAAAAGTGGCTTGTTGAAGTGGTGACCCGTGAGATGGAAATGGTGCTGTGCCGTCATACAGCTGCCAGAACCCCGCGGTCTGAACAAGAAGCTCAAACTCAAAGCTCCAGGTATAAAAATCTTGACCGTTAAAAGGCATTGTCGTTTTGATTTTCGTTGGATTTGCAGAAGCAGGAATATAATTTCCGGTACCGTCAGCTGATTGTAGCTGATAGAGTGATGGCACTTGTAACCCTTGTTGTGTTTGTTGTCCTTGTCCAGCAGGACCAAAGGAGAAAGAGTTGTTCGACCCATCACTTCCTTGTGGCATCTGACCACGCTGATAACTGGAGCCATCAATGCTCATCGGAGTTGGAAACATCTGGTTAAGTGACAAGACGGCAGCATTAACGCGTTGTTGAAGATTTGCTGGTTGGTAAGCACCTTGATATTGGTAAGGTCCAGTCGGAACGAAGTTAGACTGTTGTCCCGGTTGACTTGAAGAACCAGGGACTGCAGCTGCAGCTGTTGAGGCTGCTGATGCTGCTGTTGCGGCGGCTGCTGTCGATGATGCCGCTGCTGTAGTTGTGTGTACGGGCTGACTGCTCAATGGCATGCCGTACATCGGTTGTTGCTGATATTGTTGTTGTTGCTGTTGTTGTTGCTGCAGATGTGAATTATCAGCAGCTGGAGACGCTGTTGGGCGTGATGGGCTCGTAACAGAAGAGCCATTGTTGGACCTTGGAGATCCAGACATAGTTGTAGAGTAGGCAGGTGGAAGCTGTTATAATCCTAAGTTGCTCTCATACCATGTTAGAATTTAAACTGTCTGAATAGGATCGTAGTCTTAGGATAGTAGCTTCCTGTAGCAGTGGAAGTCTTTATATGAGTGACTTGTAACAGGATCAAAGAGTCTCTGAAATCAAGTATATTATAAAATGACAAGCATACAGATTATATAGCTAGACTAAAGTACCTGTTCGCCTACTGTGCTGTATTTATTCGCGCTATTCCTGTTCTGAAACGGTACGTGACTATTCGCGATACCTACAGCTACTGATGACGTCATCCTAGGGCGCGTAGCGCTTTGCTGACGTCAGTCTATCGGTACTTTTACTGTACTAACTATACTACACGAATTCCTTGAAGTGCATAAACCTCGATATTATCTCAACAACCGCGACGGTGAGCGACGTGGCGATCAGTGCAGGTTCAATATCTGCTTTGCATGCGCGTTATTCCCGCATGTGCACTGTTTTGCAGGCTCAACGTGGAGTTCTTCAGCACTGCATTGACTGAGAGTCGCCTTTTTACTGTGTGCTTCCATTCTTAGCATCCTCCTCCATTAAAGCCCAAGGCACAGCACAAGAGTTCAAAACCGCTAACAGGAGACACAAAGAGGTTGGATGAACACGACGAAGGATGATCACGCATGCCACATGTTTTCAACAGATTAGAGTTTGGCAGCAGCAGCATTGTCAGCAGCAGGCCTGAGGTCCACACGGTGCCATGAGTTGTTGAGCACACCCCTCAGGTTCCAAATGCTCTCCACATCCTCCGGCTGAGTGTTGGACGATGAATCCACCTGGGAAATAGCCAAGGGATGGCATCAAGCGGGAAAGATCCAAGGGACCACATGAAGCGGGAAAGGTCCAAGAGACGACATGAAGCGGGAAAGGTCCAAGAGACAACATGAAGCGGGAAAGATCCAGGGGACAATATGGTAACGTGGGGCGTAAAACACAATGCGGGCATGGAGAGGAAGAGAGCATGATTCACTGGGGTATTCCTCACATGCTCCCAGCGTGACTCACAGCACGAGCGACAATCTGGCATGGTGGGGTGACAGTGGCATTGAGCTGCCACAGCACCCACGCCCACTTGAACTGCCCCTCGTCCTCCTCATCCGCGTCTGCCACATACACGCCACCACCCTCCCCTGCTGCTGCCGGGCCTTGCAGGAGGCCGAGGTGGGAGGGGTTGTCGACAGTGTGTGGCAGGCGAGTGGCCTCCTGCCAGGTGGCACCCCCATCAGTTGACACCTCCACCCGCTCGATGCCGCGCCCGCCGCCCACTGCTGCGTACCCCCGGATGGTGATCTGCGTGGCATGGGAGGGGAGGAAAAGGAGATGCAGGGGTTGCGGTTGGGTGTTGTAGGAGGGAAGTTGCAGGCGATTTGAGTGGAGAGCTGTGCACGGAAATGCATGGGATGAAAGGGGAGACTGAGAGGATAGATGATGGGCGTGAGTGGCAGTGGACAGCCGAGATTGAGGCAGTAGATGTTGAAGGGGAGAGGGGGGGCGAAGGACAGAGGAGTGAAGGGGTGGATGAGAGGTGGAGAGGAGAATGACGGAGAAAAGGGAGGATAAGAGGGGAGGGGAGGTCAAGAATTGGAGGAAGCTGAGATGCAAAGGAGAGGAGAAGTGGAAAGAAACGTGGAGGAGAGAAGAGGAGAGCAAAGACCGCAGAGAGTGCAAAGAATAATCATGGAAGCGGCGTGAGTTGAGTTGAGAGCACTCACAGGGCCTGGCTGCACTTCCTCCCCCACTGAAGGCTCGGTTATGGCCGACTGGAGGGCGGGTGACATGTCGATGGGGTTGGGATGGGTGGGAGGGGGAAGTCAATGGGTGAGAAGGTATGCATGAACAATCACGAGAGGCTAATGGTTGGTGCTTGGTGCTGTGGACCGAGGCAATCTGAAGGAGCAAGAAGAGGGAAGAACATGGCCCGTTTCAAACGCTGCTCAAGATATGGTTGGGAAAGCATTAATACGCGGGGAGATGTCACGGCATGGGATGCAGTCTTTACCTGGATTGGAAAGTCCATGATAGGGCGACGAGTGTTCCACTCGATGTTGTGCCAGTCAATGCTGGGAGGAAACATCTTGTAGTCGCGCTGCATAAAGAAGCCCTGCGACTCGTGCGACAGCATGTCAATGCGATCCAGCCACTTCACCGAACGCGCCCCGATGACCCCGGGAGCAACGATGCGCAGAGGAAAGCCGTGGTCAGGAGTCAAGTCCTGCGAGGCACGGGCCGGGGGGAGGGCGATCCGAGACAAGAGAGACACACTGACACAAGAGAGACGAATGGCACGATGACGACAGAATTCATGTTGCAAAAAGGCATGCAGAGGTAAGAATGACAGGGATGGGTGGGGCGGGGGAGCGGGGGGGGAAGGAGAAAAAGAGCATGGGAGGAGGGAACGAGCATGGGAGGAGGGAACGAGCATGGGAGGAGGGAACGAGCATGTGCGAGGGTGGTGATGGTGGGGTACACGGAGAGAGCATACCTGTCCGTTCATCTGGTATGCAAGGAGCACATCCTGCTCCGGCGAGGAGGCGTGGAGGAGCGGCAGCGACGCCTTGTAGGGGCCCCCCTTCTCCTCCTGGGAAACGAGAGAAGCGGAGCGATGCGAAGGGAAAGATGAGAGGGAGCGACTGAGGAAGGAGAGCAGTGGAGACGTGAGAGACGGAAGGTGAGACGGTAGATGACTGAAGCATTAGTTAGAAGACCGTTTTTCTGAATAATCCTGTAACTCCAGATCTGCATTCTCAGCCCAACCATACACATTCAGCTACACGTTGTGCACCACAAGATGCCGGAACACAGGGGAGCAGGCCTAGGAGTGAGGGAATCAGCGAGCGGGCGAGTGAGTGAGTGAGTGAGGGAGGCACGCACTGGGCAGACATCAACGCTGGTGAACTCCACGTGCTTGCCACCTGCTGAGGTGCGCGTGGAGCGAGGCGCCACCCCCGCCAGCTCCAGCACGTGTGACACACGCACCCCCGTCCACGTGGCTGATGCCGATCGGTCAAGAAAGGGAAGGTGGAATAAGGGGAGAGTATGTTCAGAAGGAAATGGGATTTCAAGGGTGGGGGATTTGAGAAGGAACGGGATGACGAGGGTGGGTTTTGGAGGGCGTGGAGGTGCGAAGAGGAGGCCAGAGACATTAGCGTGAAAAACCACGTATACTAAGCAAAAAGCAAAAACCAGACAGGGGGGCCAGAGGGGCAGGACAGGGGGCCAGGGGGGCAGGACAGGGAGGCGACAGGAGTCTCACCATTCCCGATGGCAGCTTGGGACCACCCCACGCCCTTGACCTTGCGCCTGGTGCTCATTTCCGTGCGCCTGTTGCCCGCACACTGGGGGACGGGTGGTTGGACAGGGCACGCTTTTTGTGTCGACTCTGCCCGCACACCAGGGGAAAGGTGGTTGGGCAGGGTGCAGGAGTGGAAGATGCGTGAAGCGCTGTCAACATTGACTAGCCAACCCGAAACAACTCGAGACGTCTCGGAAGGCGCATGAAGGTCTGACGAGGGGCTCATTAGGGGCTAAAGAGGGCTTGGCTCACCATCATGGTAGCAACAATGGTTTCCGCTGGCATGGACCTGCAGCGCCCAGGCACGAGAGGGATAGGTGAGAACGGCCGTGGGAATGTGGCTGGCAAAAGCGGTGGACGGTCGGGAGCAACGCAGGGAGAAGTACGGGAGAGCTGGTAGGATAAACGATCAGAGATGCGGGTTGATCAGAGATGCGGGTTGATCAGAGACGCGGGTTGATCAGAGTGGGTTGGAGTGGGCGAAGGGGAGCTCACTTGATGTCTTGCAGGGAGAGAGAGAGCGGCTTGGGCACGAGACCGCCCACCTGCAAGCGATAGCTGCTCTGATGCGCACACCCATGAACGTGGTCACACACACATGCGCACATACACACACGCACATACACACACGCACATACACATACCTCCGCACCCACACACACGCAGACACATGCGTGCACACCCCTCCCGGACACACAAGCACGCACGCATGCACACATACACATACACACGTAAAGATGCAAAATGAGTTGAGCCACAAGAGACGACACATAGCCAAGAGCATCTACGGCCTCCTCACGGACTCTGGCGCCATATATCCCCACAGAGTACTATTGAGGAGGCTTGGAAAGACCTGCCTCATCAACAGCAGCGGCACCATCAGCAGCACCAAAAGCACCCGCAGCACCATCAAACATGGACCTAGACCTGGTAACGAGGTCTCACGGCCCGACCGTCCGTTGGCTAACTCAAAGGACGTCTGACATCCCACGTGGCAGCGTTGCTGGAATCCGACGTGGCAGCGTTGCGTCGCCGTCCCACCTGTCAGCATCGTCCAGCACGGGCGTGGGCCCGTGGCTGCGCACGTAGAACGCGTCCGCGCCCGTGATGAAAGTCGTTCCCAGCAGCGCGGGTGGAGTCTCCGCATTGTACGGCGCCTGTGGAGGCGACGTGGGGGGATATGAAACGGATTCGAGCGTCAGCCGGAACCACAGGAGCGAAGTTGAAATGAAACAAGAACCATTTATTGACAAAGCCAAGCATGAAGATAAGATCCACAGAGCATAATCTAAGATCGTGGATTTGATTCGCGAATCGCCGGCACGTAATCCCATGCTAGCGCGTAGTCGAATGATAGGCCTTCGACCGACTTGCTGTAACTCAGATCTTTATTTGGAATGTCAGAGCCACAGAAGAGGTAGGCGAAGGTGGGCGAACCTGGTGGTTCACGATCATGTCGGGACGTCGCGAGGGCTCCGCATCGTACGTTGTGGGACCACGGAGACCCATTGTCAGGCTCGTAGCGAGCAATATGACAGGAAAGTCCAAGAAAGCGTTATACACAAAGAGCAAAGCGACGCAATGACAATGAATGTCTGTAAGCCCGCCGCAGCAGAAGCTCGCGCTGGCTCGGGCGAAATCCAAATCCGTAATGGACTAGAAGGGTGACTTCAGCTGGTTTAGGAAAGGTGATTTTGGCAGTCGAGGAAAGGCGGGAAAGCAGACCCAAGACAAACCACCAGCCAGAGGAGATGACAGATCGCCCTGTTTTCAAGTTTTCGATTCCTTTGGGCAGTGGCTTTGACACCGCCTTGCTTCTCCGCTCGCGTCCGATTCCTTGGGGCAGCTGATTTCGACATTTCCAATTTCCTGTGACCAGGAAAATTCTGAAGTTACCTGGTTTTAGTATAGTGGCCAGTGGAAAAAAATAAACCCCTCTCGGATGGCTGGCCATTTGGGAGGCATCAACCCTAAACACCTTGCCTCATGGTGTTTAGGGTTGATGCCTCGCAAATGGCATGCCCTCCATGAGGGTTAATATTTATTGTCCCGAGCTTCTCGTAATTGACGCGACAATTCAATTTATGATATCCCAATAAATAAAAAACATATTAGTCTCTGGACTCAAAAAGGGGCAATAGCGTAAATAACTGACCGAAGGTATCGGACTCGAGCGCAAAGCAAGACGGTGTCAAAACCACTGCCGAAAGGAATCGAAAACCCGAAACCAGGGCGGTCCGTCATTCCCTCCACCAGCCAGCATGGTGGTTGACGCGGCGCGTGCGTGGGCTCAGAGTGTGGTTCATGTCTGGTTTGCTACTGCTGACGTGTCGCGAATTCAGCCAGGTTTGAAACAGTTCGTACGTACGAGGACGCATTTCTCTTGGCAAAGTGTCTTCGTTCGATGGACAATACCGTACGGTCGATGCGCTGGTGATCTGCGGGAGGTTCCTGGGAAGTCGCAATCCTCCTAAACTTCATGCTGAGGTGGAACTGTAGGAAAAAATATGTAGCTATACAGACAGGTGAAGCTATATAATCATGATGTACTTTACAGAAGGCATTCTATTAACATATCACAAAACACACAAACATGATTCAAAAGCTCGAGTTCCGTCGAACATTAAGAATTAGAAAGCGACCATGCAGTGCTCCACTCGGTCAATGTTTTGTGGGGAGAAGCGTAGCGAACAAGCCTGGACTCAAATGGTTGAGTCTGGCACATGCAATCACCGGCTCAGGCACCTCATTCTGGTTGTTTCCCTGAAGCAGGCATGTCAAATGGGAATGACAGGATGAGGTGGACAGCAAAAAAATGAGCTTGCTTGCCACACACACACCTCATCAAGTAGTGTAAGTACCAACTGACGCAAATAAAGCGTGACCGGTACAACACATCGACCCAATTACTAAACAATGAGGGCAAGGCACCTGGGCAATGAGGGCAAGGTCGAGAGAGGAGCCGGGGAGCGTGCAGAGAAGAGGCAGCAGGGCCTTGCGGGACGCTTGAGGCAGCTGGTGCAGGTCTATGTCTATGTCCAAGTAGTCGGGTCCCTGGCGTGTATGGTGATGGGGAGAGGCGTTGGGAAGTGTGAAGAAAGGGGAGATGTTGACCAGTGACGCTCGTGCGTAACAGGGAGAGACAATGATTGATGCAGTTTCTGCAGTGCGGGACAAAATCTACAAGCACTCTGGACTTGGGGTAGAGAGAAGGGAAGGCCAAACAGAAAGAAGGAACGGGCGGCGATAATAAGCATGCAAAAATGAGAAGTGAGGGTCAACAGTGATAATAAGGGCAGACTTAGCACATACCCGGAAGAACATCTGGTATGGGTGTGTAAGGATTGCAGCGCTCTCCTCCTTTCCCCACTCCTCTCTCCGCCCCTTCCCTCCTGTTGCTCCACCTGTTGATTTGTCCCTAACTCCCATCACTCTCCCCACCGTTCTTGATATTCTCCTTCTCACTCCCCCCTTCCTCCTGCGCACACAGCTCCTCCCAACTCCTGCCTCCACCTCACCATCCTCCTCCTCTGAAATCCCTTCCTCATCACTTCCCCCCCTCTCTTCCTCCTCCTCGTCCTCGTCCTCCTCTCCATGCAACCCTCCAGCCTCACCCCTCATCCCTCCAACCCCCGTTTCTCCTGCCCTCTCCCTCCTCGCCTCCCCGTTCCCCTCCTCCCGTGCTAGGACTGTCCGGGCGGCATCTTTCGCCCCATCTCTGCGCACAACCATGAGCTTGAGGCGCTCTTTGAAGGGGACAAACGCAGCAGCGCCTGACAGCATGGCAGAGACTCGCGCCACCTCCTCCTCCTTCATTGTCTCCACCCCGCCCTTGAGCCCCTGCCGATGGGGAAGGAGGGATGGCGAGAGGGAGGGAGGGAGGGAGGGAGGGAGGGAGCGAGGGAGGAAGGGAGGGAGGGAGGGAGGGAGTGAGGAGAAACGGAAAGGTAGCATTTGGCATGTGCTGGAAGCTTGAACAGTGTAACACGGGCCCCTACAGAGATCCCGTCAATCATCAAGCTCCCGGCTACTCGCCCACCAGCTAGCCTGGTTGCTGTGCTCCATTTCCAGTCTCATCTTCCTCCTACACCCACCCGCCTACCCACCCACTAGCTCACCCTGAGCAACGCCAGCATGTGAGGGGGCGCGGATGAGAAGAAGGCGGGGCAGAGGTGAGCATAGAGCACGACGCTGAACCCTTCTGATGCATGTGAATCAGATGACAGCAGCGAGATGTGAGAGCGCGGCGTGTGGATGGGCACCTGATGGGGGCAGTGGGATGTGAGGGTGAGGGGAGTGGATGGGTGAGAGAGTGGAACGGCGAAAGGAGGGTGGTTTGGATCGAATAGAGGGGATTGTTGGGATAGGAGAGGTAGTTGGGCCAGTGCAAGGAAAGGCAAATGAGAGCAGAGAATCGGATTCAGAAGAGGCTGATGTGGAAAGGGAAGAGGGAATAGGTTCGGGGCGAGTGAGCTACAGGCAGCACCCTTCCCACACTCGCCTGCACGTGAATCAGCAACATTCTTGGCAGCGCAGCAGCAAGAGCAGCAGCTTCACGAGAAGCAAAGCCCGTAGCAGCCGCAGCAGCAGCACCGGTGGGCGCAGGGCGCGGAGAGGAAGCAGCTGAGGAGTGGGCGGTGCCGGTGGCGGCAGCAGTGGCAGCGGCGGCGGCAGAAGGAAGGTCAAGGAGGCGAGCAATGTGGGTGAGCTTGTGGGGCGTGTGAAATACATCCACTGCTGTCACTGTGTATGGCGTCATGTGGTGCCCTGCCTGCTTCCCACCCGTGCTGTTAGGGCAAGCGTGCCAGGGCGGAGGGGAAGAGAGGAAAGGGGAGAGGTTACTGGGGGTGGGGAGTGGTGGTGCTCGAGGGGCCGAAAGAGCATGAGAAACGAGGACGAATAAGAACGGAGTGAAAAATAAGAGAAGCAGCATTGCTCCCTGCTGCATAGCCCCCTGCCATACCTGAAGTAGCTTGTTCCTCGCACAGGCAAGCAGGTCGGGCTGATGGTCATCCAGCAGTGAGGGGGTGGTGGCGCGGACAGGGGAGGCGAGGTGCAGGAGGCATGATCAGGAGAGGAGTCAGGAGAGATGACGAGCGGGGAAGAGCGACGGCGGGGAGGGCGGGAGAGAGACACGTGGTGTGGTAACTGGGATCCTGGCTCGGGCATGTGAAGGACCTTGCGGGGGGCTGTGACAGGGAACGTTTGGGAAGAGGAAAGAAAAGAGAGATGGGAAAGGAATTGAGGGGCAGGGTCGCGGTTAGATGCATACGATGGAGATACGTGTCAGGGAAAGGTACCTTAACAGATGGGGGAGAGGAGCAAGTGAAGCTTCAGTCAGGCAGCTTGAAGATTCAGTTGGGTGCAAGGGAACGCGGGGAAACAATTGAATGGAGAGTATGAAGATAGAAGATTCATCACCTAGTAGCATCTTGGCAACTGCAGTCTCAGCATCCACGCGCACTGGAACGCTCACTCGTGCGGGTTGCTCCTGCCGCCGCTCCCTCTCCCTCTCCCAGTACACCCCTCTGAACGCCCCAAAGTCCTCCTCCTCATCTCCTTCCTCGTCCTCCTCATCCTCCTCCGCGTCTGTCATATGACGCCTGGGGGTCCTGACAGGAGGGGGACTCCTGAAGACAGGAGGCGTGGCGGAAGCAGCAGAGGCATCAGCAGCAGCCACGGAGTGAGCGAGCTTATGCAGGGAGGGCACGGAGAAGGATGCGTGCATTGACTTCCAGCGAGTCAGCCCTCCTTGTGCTGCTGATGCTACGCCCTCTCCTTCTGGCCCATCTCGTGCTGCCCCTTCATGTACTGTCACACGTGATCTTGCGCCTCCTGCCCCTTCTCGTCCCGCTCCCGTTGCTCCCGCTGCTTCGCCTGCTCCTGCTCGTGCTGCTGCTGCTGCTGCTGCTGCTGCTGAAGTGAACGAGGGAGTGGAGGAGGTGCGGGGCATTGGGGAGAGTGACACCCCGCGTTGGCGCCCTTCTAGTCCATGCACAGGACTGCTGGCGTGCTCAGTGCCACCCGCACCGCGGGATACAGCGCTTTCAGTGCCAGGTTCACAGGCATCTGCTGCTGCTGCTGCTGCTGCTGCTGCTGCTGCTGCTGCTGCTGCTGCTGCTGCTGATGCAGGTGCTTCACCATGTTGTGGTCTCCCACTCGTTGAGAGCACAGGTGCTGCTGCTGTTGCCACTGATGATGCTGTTGCTGTTGCTGCGTTAGGTGCAGCAGGGACAGCAGCGGTTGCACCACCTCCACTGCTCCCCACGTTCCTAGAACCACCTGACTCGGCTTGCCCCTCCCTTCCCTTTGTCACCCGAGTCCACAGCTCCGGATGTAACGACCAGGTCCGGGGCCGCTCCACGCCCGAACCTGGAGCATCGGAGAGCCGTCGAGGAGCGGCCGAACCGGGGGAGAAGGGTCGGTGCGGCTGCTTTGACCGAGCACGCGTCCGGGAGGAGAAGGGGGAGTGGCGAAACGAGGTGTGAGGGGATGTGGAACGGAAGGAAGATGAGGCCAGGGCGATGGTGGGCGAGCTTGGAGAAGACAAGGGGCGACGGGAGGAAGACGTGGGATCAGCAGCATTAAAATCAATGTGCACTTGAAGCGAAGAGGATGCGTGTGTGGAGGCGGATATATGGAGGTCAGAAACAGAGCCCGGGATGTGGGGATGAGTGGAGGAGGAGTGAGAGGTGGAGGCGACTGGTTGAGAAGGTGTGAATGAGGTGCTGTTGGATGGGCCTGGCTTGATCACTGTATCTGAATGCACAGCAAAAACTTCATTCTCCAGCCATTCAGCTGCTGACGCTCCATGCAGTGCCCTTGTTCCAGCACCCCCTTCCTTTCTTCCACTCTGCTGTGACCTATTCCCCTTCCTTTCGTCCCCACTACCGCCCATACTCCACGCCCTGACTTTCCGCGTGCCAGCAGCAGGGCCAGGAGCAGTGGCAGGTGAGAAGGAGAAGCGGCGGGAGGGGGAGAGTGCAGTGCGGGCAGCAGAGAGCATCGTAGCGCCAAAAGTTCGGAGGGGAGACCGGGAGGCGCGGTGTGGGTGGGCTGCAGCAGCAGCCGTGGCCCCACTGGTGGTGGCACCAGTATCATTGCCATCATCGCCAGCAGCAGCGGCAGCAGCAGCAGGAGGTGCAGCAGCGTTAGCAGCCTGCTGTTGTGCTTGTGCAGCAACGCGTGCCCCAGACTCCACTTTCCTACGGCTACCTGTAGCAGTGTGCCTTCCCTCTTGATCCTCTGCTGCCTCCGCCCCTGCTAGTGAATCACGTTCTGTCCCACTGCCCACTCCTTCCTCCTCTGAAAAATCTCCAGGCTGGCCCGCAGTTGGCGAGGAGAGGTGTGGTGGGGGGGTGGTGAGGAGCAGGGGCGCTGTCTTGAACATCTCATCCAGCTCCTCTGATGCATGACATGACAAGAGATATGTATGCACATGTACGGATGTGTGATAAGAAAGACAGGGGATAGAGAAAGAGCAATTAGACAATTAGACAGCGACCAAACATAGGTCAAGCAAATTTGTAAAAGCTCGGTAAAGACACGAGCCTCTTTCCCATCTGTGACTTCCCATGTGCAACATCCGGACACTGTCAAGTCAATGCCAACGCACCAGAGTTTTCACTCCCAGCACTATGGAACTCGTCCTCTTGCTCCTCCTGCTCGCCTCCCACTCCAAGCTCCTGTGCCCCCCTCCCCACAATCCCATCCTTCCTCCTCCTTAATCCTGCCTTCCCATTAACCCTCCTTTCCCCACTCAACGAGGGCACGCATGGCTTGCTGCCTGCTGCCATAGCCCAATAGGGGGGAGAGGGGAAGGGGGGATTTAAGAATGTGACACCACGCATCGGTTTGCCACACCATGCCTCCAATGCGAAATCCATGACATGCCTTGCTAAGGCATGCAGCAGCACAGCAAACTGATGCAGCAATGCAGTATCTTAGAACCTAAACGCCAGAGCTGGTGAGACACAGGAGAGCCGAACGAAGCACAAAACAGCGGCAGCAGCAGCACAAAACAGCGGCAGCAGGGACTCAGTCACGAGTCAGCAAAAGATAACGGCAACAGGGCACGGTATTCAAAGTGAGAAGTGTGTGTGCGGACGGACCTGCTTTGGAGGAGGAGGATGCGGACACGCGAGTTCCACGAGGGGAGAGCACCTTGCGAGCAGCTGAGAACACGGATGACAGGCGCTTGGAGCGACGGGGGGAGGAGGGGCGGATGCTGATACCACCCGCATCTGCCTCTGCACATGCGAAGGTGATGTTGATGGTGAGGCAGGGAGGCGGAGAGCTGATGGTGGTTGGCTTGAAAACAATGATGGGGGTTCAGCTGAGTGGGTGGTGGATGGAGAGAAGTGAGGGCATTCACGTAGAGAAGTGCAAGGCGAAGCATCATGGGGTGCGGAGATGGATCAGATCAGAGTCAGTCAGGGATTGGAATAACAGACGTCATCGCCTACCCGTACATCAGAGGGTAACAACGCGGGCAAACCCAACCAGACCCACACACCTGGGGTAAGCATGGGAGTAGCAGGGTGCTGCTGAGTGCGCGAGTCACAGTGGTGGATGGTGAGCAACGCTCCTGCGCCCTCCTGCAGCTTGCCCACCAGTGCCCTGCCTGCCTGCGCCGGCAGCATCATGCCTGCCTGTGCACCCCTCTGGCACAGGCTAGCTGCAGTCATAGAACTCGCCTGGGACAGGGTGTCTGGGGAGGGGAGGCCGGCGACAAGGGGTGTGGAATGTGGGAGAGGGAGGAGGGGACGGGCAGAACGGTAAGGAGTAGCGGAGGGTTGAAAGGAGGACGGGAAAGCGGGGCGCTGAGGTCAGTATTGTGAGAGGCTGAGGCAAGGCAATGCATGCACATGGCATGCAAGAACATGGCCACAAAGCACATGCCATTGAATTCCCGCACATGACCGAGCCTTGCACAGAGTCAGAGCATAGTGCAGCATAGAGCAGGCGAGCAGCCCGTACCAGCACGTGCAGACTGGAACTCCTCATCGGAGTGGCTATCTGCATCCACGAACTCAGGAGGAGCCGCCCCCCACCATGTACGCTCGCCCTTCACCACCTTCCCTGCTGCTGCCGATGCTGCTGCTGGTGCGGCTATTGCGCCACCAGCTGCTAGCCTTGGTTTGTGCTGACTGCCCTTCCTTCCGTCCGTGCTTCTCTCTGTGGCAAAGGGGAATCAAATTTGTGCTTATAAAGCCCAACAGGACCTTAGGAAAAGCTTATTGCAGTGTGCTACAATGGCATACAGGCAGAGGATCAAGGGGACAAGGAGAACGAGGGAATTGCGGCGAGCAAGGAAACAAGGACAGGAGCTAAACCAGGCAATGCAAGCAGCAAGAGAACTTACGAGTCATCATGAAAACGTTAAGCCCGTCGTTTGCATTCACAGGAACCCTCTGCTTCTCCTTCTCCTCCTTCTCTTTCTCTCGTCCTCGTCTTCTCTTCACCACCTGTACCATCAAGCCCTCCTCATTCCCACGCGCCCCTCCAGTGCACTCCTGCACTTGATCATACGCACCTCCTCCCCCTCTGGTGGTGCTACTTCCCGCGACTTCCCCTTCATAAGTAACCCTACCATCTCTCTCTGCACCGCTCCCCACCACACTCTTACCCTGCCGACTCGCCTTTCTCTTCCTCCTGGGAAAGCAGTACCCATCCGCCACATCCGCATCCAGCCCATATTCGTCACCCAAGCAAACCCTAGTCCTGCCCTTACCCATCCGCCCAGCATGCATATCCTCCTCCTCCTCGCTGTCACTCCCACTCGCCTCATACTGCAGACAGCCCTTGCCACCCCCATCACCCCGCCTGCTGGACTCTCTGCTGCTCCTGCCCCTCCGTGACCCTTGCTTGAGCAAAGACGGTCCGTAGTAATCAAGAGCAGCGGAATCAGACAGTACGGGGCCGAGCAGAGTTGATGAGTTTCTGACAGCATCGGACGCTGATACAGCTGCTGCTGATGCTGATGCTGACTTTGCTACTGCTGGGTTAACTGGTGCTTGAGTTGCCTTTGCTACTTGTGGCGCATCTTCACCTCTTACTCCTCCCTTGCTTCTGCTGTCTTCCTGCTGCTGGTTCTCGCCATTACGAGTCCGGCCTGCTGTGCCAGCTCCAATGCCCTTCTCGTGCCGCACTTGATTCGTTCCAGATAAACGTCTCCTGCCACTCGCATTCCGTTCCACGGCTCCATCTGCACCGTCCAATCTCATCTCCTCCCCGCTGTACGCCTCTGATCCAGCTGGTACCCCTTCTCGCCTCGCCCCCTCCGCTTGAGCCCCTCCCGCTGCTCTTCCTTCTACATCAACACCGCTCGCAGCCCTCGGACGACCCCTTGCTTCTGCCGCAGATGCTTCTGCTGTGGGAGGAACGTCACGAGCAGGCCGAATCTCTGGCATACCAGACCCCGGACCAGGACCACTGGCCATGGTGGGGACGTGGCAGTCAGTCACACTGATTTCTACATCCGCCCCACTTGCTGCTTGCGAGCTTGAATCTGAGACAAGCACGGTGAGAGAGAGAGAGCACAGGAGGTGTCGGTTCAGGGTTACAGGCCATGACCAAGTCTACAGAGACCACAGCAAGAATTTACGGAATCCGCTCCGTTTGATTCATGAGGCCAGCTATACTGAATTCAGCGTACCTTCTCTGGCGCTCTGCAGCTCATCTTCTCCCAATTCCTGCCTGGAGGGCGCATCTGCAAACTCGTTTGCTTCGTCCTCGCGCCCCATATCCGCTCTGCCAGCAGCAGCAGCATTAGCAGCAGCACCAACACCACCACTGTTACTACCTGATTCTCTTGCTGCTGCTAGTTCTGCTTCCGCGGTAGATATCGCAGCTGACGCTAGCTGCGCAAACACTTGGCCATTCTTTGCCTCGGCGTTCATTTTCCGCACGTGTTGGCCTTGCTGCTCGACGGTCGAGCTCCCTCGTGCTGCCGTTTCAACATCAGGCTTCTTGCCAGACGTTCTGCTGCTCTGCCTCTTCTTCCCTCCGTTCTCAGAAGAAGCATCGCCTCCCTCCACCCGAGGCTTTGAGAAGCACGAACCCATTATGCCGCTTCCCCTGCTCCCCCGTCCCCCCTGCTTTCCCTGCTCCCCTGCTCCCCCTGCTCCCCCTACTCCCCCTGCTCAGACGACGAAGACTGGCACTGCGGTTGCTGACACTACCGCTGACGGTGCTGGCACTAGTGCATGCTCGAACAGCATGTGATAAAACGGAATGATCAGTTCGTGACACCTCTCATAGCCCGGGTCAGGGCAATCAACGTAGCTTACGGCTATCTCGTTAGGGTGGTGTCATGGCGGGTACTAAGCTACTCTGTGAAACGGATGCGTGGAAAGGCTCCAGTTGAAATTCCTGAAGTGCACCGGAATCAAGATTCCATAAGCTGGTCAGAATGGGGCAAGGAATTTGAAACCTAGGAGGTTGTTGGGAAGAGCTTTTATTTGTAGAAGCCGGATGCGATCCGGCCAAATTGAACCGGCAACGTCTACGTTACGCAGTGCAGCTCACGTGCGAACCAGCCTGAATATTAACATGGCGTTAAGAACCCCCTAGCTGCACTGGGCTGGTGCGTTTCGGAGATCGGCAATAACGGCCACTATCGCAATGGTTCTACGACGGACAATTAGGGTATCAGTAACGCCGAGGGGGACAGTTCTTGAGAGAAAAAAAGATGCCACAGGGTCCCTTGACATAGGGGTGCTAAGAGCTTCGCGCTAAGTGTGCTAAGAGCTTCGCAAGAACAATGATATGTCCTGTTGGTGGAATTCAGGTTCAAAGGTGCGACGGAGGTACCCAGCGGCATTTGGAAAGGAACGAACTCCAGGGAAGTCGGCTTGGTCAAACGTAGCAGACCCACAAGTCCATTCGTGTTTCGTTAGGTACGAGGACACAGTTGCATTGCAGGGTGCAAACAAAGAAAACATGAGGCAGTGGTGAGAAGGCGTCGCATCTGCTGTGTGGCTGAACAATGGCAGCAGTGCGTAGCAGGGAAGGGAAGTCAAAATCAGGATTGTCAAGCACAGAGAAAAGTAGGCGATGATCTTGTGCCAGCGGGTCACACAAACTCATTTTCCAAACGATTTTCCACCACACGCGAAACCTATGGGTCGAACCTTGGGAATGTTTGGCTAGTGTTACATAACCAAGACTTCGCCTGCCCCTCGCCATCCTTGTCGCTCAGCGAAGCTGAGAGCAAGCGACATATCGTTGGCAAAGTTCCCTAGCAGTGACGCGTGGCACAGAGCTGACAATGCAAGTTGATGAGGCGAGGACCTTGGGTTTGGTTTTGCTCCTTCCAGGTCGGAGGGAAAAGCGAATCGAAGTCTGGGGAAAAGTCAGACCGATGATGAAAACGGACAGCCAGCAGGGATGGTTGATTGTTGCCAGTGGAGGCATCAGGTCTGGCGTCCAGTAAATCTTACGAAACATCCCTCTATGGATGGGCTGTGGTAGCTCGTATAGCGAAACGTCAGGACTATCTTCTCAAAAAAGGAAGAAAAAGGTTCATACGAGAAGTGCTCAATGTGCAGCATTAAACCTGTGATATCAGGCTGTCTTTTCCTACACAATCAAGGTATAGCCTCCAATGGATTTTACAAACATACATCCCATGATTTTATTAGTTCACCTGATGTGAAAACTTACTGAAGCGATATCAACAAGGGCTCCTAATGGAAACCAGTAATGCTGTACAAGAGAGTAACAAAACATTCTCTCCAGCAGTCTTTAGTACCACATGACTGCATCATGAATCTAAGCAGTAAACCAAACTGGTCAGTCCATTTTCACCACCACCTTCCCCACCACATGGCCTTCCATGCTCCGTGTCCATGCATCCCTGGCCTTCTCAAATGGCACCGTAGCATCCAGCGTCACATTCAGCTTCCCATCAACCACCAATTTTGCCAGAACCTCCAGATCCGAGCCCTTGCCTTCCATCAAAATGGGGTACACCTTCTTGGGGCGAAAAGCAATGGAGCGCCACAACCCCAGGGCCATAATCGAAGGTGGTGGCGTGAGGTGCAACCACTTACCGTTTGGAGGAAGCACCCGGTCCACAGTGGCAACAGACAGGCCGCTAGTCCCGTCAACCACGGCATTGTACAGCTCAGCCGGGGGCAGTGGGGTAGCAGCGGAGGCAGACAGGCGCTGCCCGGCCTCCGTCTTGTAATCCAGCACCTCATCCGCTCCCAGCTTTTTCGCAAATTCAAAGTTGCGTGCTCCCACGGTGGCTGTCACATGTGCTCCTGCCAGCTTGGCCAGCTGCACTGCCAGATGCCCCACGCCTCCTGATGCGTTCGCCACCAACACACGCCCATTGTAGCCGCCCTTTACGTCATCGGCAGGTGTGGAGGGCAGAGGCAAGCCGGCGGAATTACGCAGGGCCTGAAGGGCTGTCTCGCCCGCGATTGGAAGGGCAGCTGCGACTTCAGGGGGAACGGCGGCGGGCCTGGGAGCACTACCTGATGCTGGGAGCACAGCATATTGTGCCAGCGCACCCAGTTTCTGGAACAAACGAACACGGGGATCACCACATTGATGCGATTTTCACCAGACGAAGATGAGAAACACCAAACAAGCTTGTGAGGAAAGGAGGTGAGAGGGAACATGGAAGCACGGGAATTAAAAGACGGGTAAAGTACTCACGAAAGGCGAAGATGAGCCGAAGACACTGTCGCCCACTTTGTACTTGGTCACCCCTGGCCCCAGCCCCACCACATCACCTGCAATATCCATCCCTGCACAGCCAGAGACGGACGGAGACGGAGGACGGGTCAGGGACGAGTACGGGAGGGAGGAAGGGTGGGAGGAGCGAGAGAGGGAGGGAGTGAGGGACGGAGGGAAGAGAAAGGGAGGGAAACAGGGAGAAGGAAAGCAAGATGTTTGCGAGAAGAGAGGGAGGCGAGGGTGATTACCAGGTGTGGCCGGATAGCGCAGCGGCAGGATGGGGATGTAGGCGTTTTGAATCTTCCAGTCCACGGGGTTGATGCTCGCCGCGCTCACCTTCACCAGCACTTCACCCTTGCCGGGCTTCGGTACTGGCGCGTTCTCGTTCAGCTACGATTAAGGAGTCGGAAAACAGAAGGGCGGGGAGGGATGGAGAGGGGTGTGTACCGAAGAAGAGGTGGTGAGTAAGACGGAGATGTACTGTTTCGTTTTGTAATTTGCTGACGGCGCAACGAGACAAATCAGAATATGTTTTCAGAACTGGCGTCCTGGAAAAAGGGAAGAGTAACTTGAAAGTGATAGGAAATTGTGGGATGAAGCAGCAGTGCGTTCTTACATGCAAAGCCTCTGCGCCGCCGCCGCGCTTTGAGTATTGCCAGGCTGACATCTTTTCCGGCACCACTGGATCTGCACCCGCCATGGTAGACCGCGTATCGGACGGATCTCGAGTCTACAAAATTACAGCTCAAGTCCCCTTGAAGCTTCAAATAAAAACGAGAAGTAGTTAGGCGGAAATGCAAGTGAAATAGATTTTGGACCTGACAGGTCAAAACGAAAAAGGCTGGAACAAATGAACTGGATGTCGAGCTCGAGAAGGGGGCATAGGCGAGAGAAGAAACCCCCCCACGCAGTTTCTGGCGAGGTGTTGCTTTGCTTGGACCTTGTTTCGCAATCCCGTTGCGAATGTTTGGCACACGCCATCGGTGCGATAATTGTGGAGTGACGTGGACCAATGAGAGCGGTGATATTCGTCATGGCTGGGCCGAAGCGCGGAATCTCCGACATGATTGCGCATGCACAAGGCAGAAGGGCGACCTCCAGGACTGTCTACACCACTAAAAAGTTCATTCAATGGACTAAACTCTTAACCAGGTTTCAAACAGAAGGTACATTTTAGCAGCACCATTATCTACTGCACCGAACAAAATACAAAGCCCAAACGAAAGTCATGGGCATTCATTGTTGTTGATCACGTGCCACATTTGCATAAGCAGGGGGTATTGCTGATCCAGTCAGTGGTGTAGATGCTGCTGGTGCAGCATCAGCACCAGCAGGATGTACAGGAATAAGGTCCCCCCCACCCAATCCCTGCCTTGAAGTGCTCACTCCATTTCCCCTTGCTTCACCTGAAGCCACAACAGCTGCCGCTCCAGCAGCAGCGCGGCTTCTCTGAAGCTTCCAGAACTTTTTCATCTTCCGGATTCTCGGCAGCGGGCGCGGCGACCAATCAAGCGGCGCCACATAAGCAGCTCTCGGCAGCACTGGCGTGGACTCAGCAGCGAGATGCCTGGATGCCACTGATATGGCCGTGAGCTGAGATGAGGCGATGGGACGCGCAGGGCCAGAGGAGCGGCGGGGAGGAGGGAGGAAGGAGTAACCTGCAGGCACTGGGGCAAGCGGACCGGATGCGGGCCTGGAGGAGTGAGAAGTGATTGCGGTGGAGAGTGGTGGGGCTAGAGCGGAAGCGGGAGGGAAAGCGGTGGGCATGGTCGGCGTGGCAGTGGCAGCAGAACTGGGTGGTTGCATTGAATGGGGGGGCTTGGGGGCTGGTGGAGAGGTAATGAGTGTGGAGATCTTGGAGGGACCAAAGAGATTGGGAGCGAGGGATGCAATGGGTGCGTGGCTCACTGCCCGCCCTGGCACATCTGCATGCTCTACCTTGGCAGATGGGGGCATGGGAGAGCTAGGCTGCTGTTGCTGCTGCTGCTGCTTAGAGTCCAAGGGTGTTAGGGGAGTTTGTGAGGGCGAGGGCACAGCAGGAAGGGACAGAAGAGGTGACAGAAGGGGGCCGGCAGTCTGGTTGGCGCTGTGATGCGGCACGGAGAGAGGAGAGGAAAGCTTGGGAGAGGAGAGGAGGTGATGAGACGAGGAGTGCAAAGTGGTGCCATGCGGTGAAGTGACCCCTCGTGAGACATGTGCCTGGGACTGCTGTGCCCTATCCTCTGTGCCCCATCCCCCCTTCCCTGCCTCCTGTGCCTCCCTGCCTTTCCTGTCACTGGCAGCAGTGGCAGTAGCAGCAGCTGCAGCAGCACCATCAGTACCAGCAGCAGCGGCAGATCCAGGAGCAGAGGGCCCGAACGGTGGGATGACTTGAACATCATCTTCCTCCTCTTCCTCGATCATCCCAATGTCATCCCTGGCGTACAGTCCCCCTTCACTGCTAGTCACCCTTTCCACTCCACCCTGCCTGACCGCACCTACACCCTTCCCCTTGCTTGCTACCCCTCTCTCCCTCTCCCCGCCCTCCCTGCTCTCGCTATAAGGAACAATGGCGCCAGCACCAGCACCAGCACCAGCAATACTCATGTCCCCTACTCCGCTCTTTCCCCCTGCATCTTGCTTGCTTGCAACTTGCTCTCTTGCACCCCCAAACCCACCATGCTCTTGTTTTTCTGCACATTCGGCTGATCCCACTACTCTCTCCTTCCTCCTCTCTCCACCCTTTTCTTTCTCATAACCCCCCTCACTCACTGCCACCCCCTCATTGGACCTCACCCCTCTCCCTTCCCCCTGCCCCTCTCCCCGTGCCCTCTTCCCTACCACACACTCCCTTTCATCCTCCCCACTCTCCCTGCCGTCCCCCCCCTCCACTTCCATCTCGCCAACCTTCCTCTTACCATCCCTCCTCTGCACATCTCGCCCCTTTCCAGAAACGCCCCCCCCTCGCCTGCTCCTCTCCCTATGCACCTCATCAGCCCCCAGCATTATAACGTCATCTGCTTCCTCCTCCCCAACCTCCAACTCTTTCCCCTCTCGCTTCTTCCCTCTCTCCCTCTCCCCTCTCCTTTCTTGCTCAGCCACAGTCCACCCCAGAACCCTCCTCTCTTCTTCAGCCCACCTCTCCTCTACCTCCGCCACTGTCCGCCCATCTCTCATCTTCAGCTTTCTGTCTTTCAGAATAGCCTTCCATTGCCCTCGCCCATACCACCTCACACCCATCCACAACGCATCCAGCTCCTCCTCACCCCACTGCCTTCCTGCACCTGCTGCCCTGCTCCCTTGCTCCACTTCCTTCCCGAGCGCTGCCTTCTCGCCACCAGCACCAGCAGCGCTAACTCGTCTGTCCTTATCCCTTGCTTCTCCTGCTGCAGCTGCTGCTGCTTCCGTCCCTTCCACCAGCCAGTCCCGGTACCCTCCCTTCGCCTGTGCGCTTCGCTCCTCCCCACCTCGTCTCCCTTCCTTCCCTGCACCCGACCTCCCAGCAGCACCTGCGTCACGTGCTACAGCCGCCCCTTCACGCTGTTCCCTCGGGTCCCTCTCTTCCGCACTTGCCTTACCCAACCCATTCGCTGCACGCATATCCGCATCTGCCGCCGCCCCCGTTGCGCCCCTTGCATCGGCAGCACCAGCAGATTTTGGCGGCCCAGCATTCTGAGCACCTGCTGCTGCAGCAGTAGCAGCAGGAGAAGCAGCACCAGCACCACCGGCAGCAGCAGTCCCAGCAGCAGCACCAGGAGTGGAAGCAGAGGCGCGCGGCTGTGGGGTTCCCCCAGCCGCCAGCAACTCCTTAGTGGCAGCAGCAATTATATCCGCAGAAGCAGGCACAGCCCCCGCACCTCTGGGCCCTATGGGGACCCCAATCACGGTGTATATGCGCTGGGGGAACGACACGTTCTGGTACCTCAGCTTCTCCACGTTGATTGCTGCGCCGCTGCTGCTGTCACCAGCAGTACCACCACTGCCCTGCTGTTGTTGTTGCTGCTGCTGTTGCGGCCCTGTCTGCTCGCCTTCCTTGCCTCTCTGGCCTTCCTTTGGGGTGTCTTTTTGACTCTGCTTATCTGTGAGCTTCTGCCCTTTGGCCTGCCTGTGCTCCTCTGCCTTCCCCGCTGCTGACCCTCGAGTTGCCTCAGGAGGGGGGGACTTCAACGGTCCCCCTTTTCCTGCCACCTGTGCGCCATGCTGCTGCTGTTGCTGCTGCTGCTGCTGCTGCTGCTGCTGCTGCTGCTGCTGGTACTGCTGCTGCTGGTACTGCTGCTGTTGTTGTTGTTGCTGCGGCTGTGGATTCATCCAAATACCCTTCCCACCGGGACCCACACCGCCCATGATCCCCGATTGGTCATGAGTGGGCATGTGAGCAAAGGACGGCAGAGGAGGCGGCTGCACGGACGTGGACTGCTGCCCAGGCGTGCGGGAGAAGGGCGGCAGGTGCGGGTAGGGGAAGCTGGGGAAGTTGGGGAGGAAGAGGAGAGGCGCCTTGCCAGTGGACTGCTGCTGGGGGGACGACGCGCTTGCCATGCCTGCTGCTGTGCTGCTGCCCATGGCCCCGGGTGCACCAGCAGCACCGGCTGATCTTGCCATGTGAGAGGTGTCCGTTGCGTGGACGCCTGACGGCTTGCCTCCGAGAGCCGGGTTGGGTGATGGCGACGGTGATTGTGACGGCATGCTGCTGGGACGGGCGTGTTGTGCGTGTCTGCTCCCTTGCTGCTGCTGATGCTGGTGCTGCTGGTGCTGGTGGTGATGGTGATGCTGCTGCTGGAGCTGCTGATGGTGCTGCTGCTGGTGCTGCTGTGCCATAGGACTTGCGCTACCTGCCTTGCCTGCAGGAACAGCATTCCCGCCGAACTTAAACGTGCTGGGAGTATTCAACATACGACTATTCCCACCACCCTCTCCACCTCCTCCACCGGCTTTCCCTGCTGCATGCGCCCCATTGCTGCCTCCGCGCGCACTGCCTGCTGCAGCCGCCGCCGCCGCTGCTGCTGCTGCTGCATGTGCAGCAGCAGCCGAAAGAGCCGGATTCGGCACGCCTGCCCCCGCCGCATCACCCCCGTAATTCCGCAGAACCGGGGGGCGGGGAAGGAAGGAGAGAGACGAGGAGTCGACATACAGACGTTGAGGGCCCCCTGTGGAAGAGTTTTGACCCGCCCCTCCTGCCCCTGCTCCTGCCCGTGTCCCTGCTCCTGCCCCCGCCGTACCTCCACCCATGCTTGACTTCCCGAGCCCAAGATGCTGGTTCGGACTGAACAGTCGAGGCTCGGACTTCTCCCCAGCTCTTCCCATGCCTGCATGCGCCATGCCCCCTGCTCCCCCCTGCCCTGTGCCGTTCCCTGCCCCACTCGCCCCCCCTGCACGCCATTGCCCTGCTGCTGCTCCTCCTGTGGTGGCTGTGCCGGGCTTGCCGGCACCAGCAGCGCCGGGGTGATTCCAGAACCATTCAGCCGGCACCTTGCCCACCATGTGAGACTCCCTCCTGACATCCATGCCCATCACCCCACTTGCACTCCCACTCGCTCCGCTTGCTCCCGCTGCTCCTCCTGCTCCTGCTGCTGCTGTTGCTGCTGCGCCTGCAGCAGCAGGTCCAGTGCCAGACTTGCCAGCTGCCCCTGCTCCTCCTGCTCCTGCCACTGCTCCCTTGTGTGCGTGACCAGCTAAGCCTGGCTTGCCGGCCGCATGGGAGGGGGTTGAGGCGGTGTGAGTGGCTGATGGGTGATGCGGCCGTTTGGAAGAGGCATGGGTGGTTCTTGGCTTGGGGGGAGGCGTCTTGCCTCGGTTGGCTATGCGCTCCTTCTGACGCTGCCTCAGCTTCAGCCTGGTGTGGGGAGGGCGACAGTGGGTGGCATGAGAGGAGGGGAGGAGAGGAGGAGGGAGACGTATGTCAGGGAAGCTTGAGAGAGTCAAGAGATGGTAGCAGAGAGATGAGAGTTGGGAGTAGGGAAATTGCAGCAAGGTATAGGCAGTCAGAGGCCGATGGAGACGGTGTAACAAATGGCCGAGAAGCACGAGCAGAGGAGCAAGAGCAGAGGAGCACGAGCAGAGGAGCACGAGCAGAGGAGCACGAGCAGAAGAGTGGATGGAGCACTTGCCATTTCTCTCTATGTGCCTTTCCAGCTGCTGATAGCTCTCTTGCTGGCTCCTCCTCCTCCTCATGCTCCTCCTGCATGGCGACATTTTCACCCACACACACACACACGCAGACAAACATGCACACAAGCACACATGCATACACGCACGTCCGCCCCTCCCCAGTCCCAACGCACAGGGCAAATTGATGAAAGCACCCCCTCATGACCCCTCTCCACACATACCGGCGAACAGAGATGCACAGGCACGCACGCACGCACGCACGCACGCACGCACGCACGCACGCACGCACGCACGCACGCACGCACGCACGCACGCACGCACGCACGCACGCACGCACGCACGCACGCACGCACGCACGCACGCACGCACGCACGCACACACACACACACATGCGGAAGAGAATGAGAGTGAGGCGGAAGCGCGGGCGGATAAACAGCGAGGAAGAGAGGGATCGCAGGAGGTAAGATCAGGGAGGGTGGGAGAGCGAGGGAGGCGAATTGAGAAAGCGGGGGATGCAGAAAAGAAGATGGCATGCAATATCCAAGTGTGCATACATTGGTGTGTGTGTGTGCATGATTCTGTGTGTGTGGGGGGGGGGGGAGGGATGGATGCGTGTGTATGCACGTGACTGTGTGTGTGTGTGTGTGTGTGTGTGTGTGTGTGTGTGTGTGTGTGTGTGTGTGTGTGAGCGCGCGCGCGAGTGCTTTCCCACGTGTGCGTGTGGCCGCGCGTCGTGTGCACGTCCATGTGCGTGCACGTCCATGTGCGTGCATGCAAGTCTGACCTTGGAGGCAGCAGCGGCAGCAGCAGCAGCCATGGCATCCACAATGCCCTGCTCGTTGTACGACACCGGCCTCCAAGTGCGCTTGTGTGTGCGTGTGTGTGTGTGCGCGCGCGGAACTGACCTTAGAGGCAGCAGCAGCAGCAGCTAGTGCAGCGGCGTCAGCAGCAGCCATGGCGGCCACGATGCCCTGCTCGTTGTACGACACTGGCCGCCGCGTGCGCTTGCCGCGCCCCAGCAGCGCACTCGTCTCCACCTGCATCTGCTCCCACCTGCCACGCCACAACAGCCCGGGGAAAACGGTGGGATAAAGGGCGGAAGGTGGGGGTTGCGGCCGTATGGAAGTTAGGCAGGGGAGACGGGGAGTGGGGATACGGCAGGGGAGTATGGGCACGATGGGGATGGACGGACGGGTGCAGGAGAAATGCAGGAAGAAGAGACGGGAGGGGAGGCAAGGAGAGTGGAGTGGGCGGGAGAAGAGGTATGAAGCCCCTTGAGGGGTTTCAGAAATCGTCCTCTCACAGCAGAACAATCCGTCACATAGTAATCACACCGTATGCCGACCCAGGTCATGCCATGCCATTCCTGAACCATCCCATCCCACCCCGTCCCATGCCCTCCCATGCCCTGTCCTGCCCTAAGCCACGCATACCGGTTCTTGAGCAGCCTCTCCCACTCGCCACACGCGTCCTCCTCGTCCTTGTGCTCCTTGTGCCCCTTGCCCTTCTTGCCCGCTGCCGCTCCCGCTGCCACCGACTCCTCACCCCCCTCCTCCCCCTCCACCTCTACCACCCTCTCCTCCTCACCCGCTTCCTCCTCCACCTCCTCATCCGCCTCCTCAAATGCCCACGCCTGCTCACAACCCACGGGGAATGGAGAAAAAAAAAAAAAAAAAAAAAAAAAAAAAAAGCGGAAGGGGGAGGGAGGGAGGGGGAATATGGAGAGGAGCCCGAGGAAGGCAAGTAAAAGTGCTTTGCATCAATTCAGCCTGGTCAGCATGGTCGAATCAAAAGCAGCATGAGAGCCAGCAACGCGAATCGAATCAGCCAAGTCAACCAAGTAACCAGAAGAGTCAGAAGCCCCACCTTGATGGATCCCAGCAGTGGTTCCCCGGCCTCCTCCTCCCCATGCGCCCCCTCGGCCACTGTGCGGCACAGCAGCCTTGAGATTGCCGACTCGTCCCATTGCAGTCGGCGCCGCCCGCCCTCGTGACACGTGTCACCATACACGTTCCCTAGACTGCTCCGGTCCTTGCGCCCCTTCTTGTGCTCTCCAATATCAAACGTTCCTCCTCCTGCTGCCGCCACTGCCTCTGCTGCGGCCGCACTGGCGTCAGGTTTCCCATCCCCTCCTCCCTTCACTTCTTCCACCTCATCGCTGTCCCCCTCCTTGCCCTTCTCCTCCCCTGCTTTCTCCTCCTTGCCACCTGCGCCCCCTCCCGCCTCCCCAGCAGCAGCTGCAGCAACCGCGGCAGCAGCGGCGGCGGCGGCAGCAGCTGCAGCGGAAGCAAGAGGAGTCATCTCAGCCTCCCCATCGCCCTTCCCCTTCTCACTCTGCCCCAACACCCGCCTACTCCTCCTCACCTGCCCCTCGCCTCCCTCCCCTTCCTCCTCCTTCCCCTCCTCCTTCTCCCCACCCTCTTTCACCCCATCCTTCCCTGCTCCGTCACCCTTCCCCTTCCCCTCCCCACCTTCCCCCTTCTCCCCCTCCTCCCCGCCCTCCACATCCACCGGAGCATCGGCCGCAAACAGCGCATGTGCCCCCCACCGCAGAATATCCTGCAAATCCTTCACGTTCCCACTGTTGCCCGACTTGCTGCCGCCGCCACCAGCAGCAGCGCCGCCGGCGCCGCCGGGGTTGGAGGCGGAGAGGAGGTGGTCCAGGAGGAGCTTGCGCTTGGCGAGCTGTAAGATGCGCTCTTCCACGCTCGCGCGTACAACTAGACGGTATACCAGCAGCCGCTTCGACTGCCCTATGCGGTGCGCTCGATTCATAGCCTGGCGGTGGAGGGGAAAGGGGGAGGCATGAGGGGCGAGGTGAGAAGGGAGACAGGGAGGAGGAGAGACAGCGAGGGGAAGTGAGGAGAGGAGAAGGGCAGGAGAGGGAGGGGTTGGGGGGGTATGGGGAGGGGCGATGCTGTGCGATGTTGAGTGGTGGAGCGAGAAGTGTCGGAACCACCCAAATGAAGCTCGACAGCCTGAGCAACACACCCTCCCCCCTCCCATACGCACACACTCCCCACCCACCCACCACACCAACCCCATGCCCCATACTCCCCACATACCAAATCCCGACCCCCCCACACGTCCCGCACCCCACATCCGAGCCCGCGACCGTGGCAAGCGATTGAGCGGGTGGTTGGGCGGTTGAGCAGGAATGAGCGGGAGGGCGCACCTGGATGTCAGCGTGGGGGTTGAAGTCGGAGTCGTAGATAATGACCGTGTCTGCCGTCGCCAGGTTGATTCCCAGCCCACATGCCCGCGTCGATAGCAGGAACACAAACCGCGACATGTCCTGCGGGAGTGCGCGCATGGGGGATGGGGGAGAGGGGAGAGGGCGGCGGGTGGGGGATGGAGGAAGGGGAGAGAGGGGACAACGGAGAGAGTGTGAGGGAGGGAGGGAGGAGAGGAGATCGACGGGTGGGTGAGGGCTCAAAGGATGGAGCAGACGGGGGAGTGGGGGTCAGCACATTAGTGGGTGATGACAATATGGGGTATCTGGGAGGTTGATGGAATTATGAAAACACACACACATAAAAATTCCATGTCATCTCACCCCACCCCACCCACCCCACACCACCCCAACCCACCCCACCTCACGCCACCCCACCCCACCCCATCCCACCCCATCCCACCCCACCGCACCCCACCTACCTTATTAAACCTTGCAATGGCCACTTGTCGCTCCGCCACGCCAACACTCCCATCCACGCGCTCATACGTCCTGGGGCCAAACTTCACAGCCAGGTACTCCTCGAGAATGTCCAGCAGGCGAGTCATCTGGGAGAAGATGAGCACACGGTGCCCCGCCGCTCTCAGGCGCTCCAGCATGCGATCTAGTAGCTGTAGCTTGCCGGATGCTGCCACGCGCGCTGCCTGGAGCGACTCCATGCTTCCCACCACGGGCTCTGTGCCTGGGATCAGGTACGGGTGGTTGCACACCTGGTGGAAGGGAGGGGAGGGAGGGAAGAGAGTGTGCGGGTGGGGGGAGAGGGAGGGCGGGGGGATGGAGGTGTTGGAGGCGGGGAAAATCAGGAGAGGTGAGAGCGAAGCGTCTGGATGCAAAGGAAGGGGATCATTGGCTCGTGTGGTGGTGGTCACGGGGTGCGGCAGAGACGCACCTTGCGCAGCTGCATGACGATGTTGAGCATGGACTGGTGACCGCCCTTGCCTGTGCGCAACACCTGGTAGTTCTTCGTCAGCAGCGCCCGATAGTACTCCGCCTGCTCTCCCCCACATGCACCCATGCACCCATGCACCCATGCACACATGCACACATGCACACATGCACACATGCACACATGCACACATGCACGCATGCACACATGCACACATGCACACATGCACGCATGCACGCATGCACACATGCACACATGCACGCATGCACGCATACACACATGCACACATGCACGCATGCACGCATGCACACATGCACACATGCACACATGCACAAATGCACGCATGCACACATGCACACATGCACACATGCACGCATGCACACATGCACACATGCACACATGCACGCATGCACGCATGCACACATGCACACATGCACGCATGCACGCATACACACATGCACACATGCACGCATGCACGCATACACACATGCACACAAACACACACGTAGACACGCAGCACATGGTGCGCATGGTGGGTATGGTGGGCACGAATCAGTGCAGGGGTGCAAAAGAACCACGCCATACATCATAAAAGGAACAGAAGGATGTGATCATAAGACCAAATTGGGACGCAAGCAGAAACAGCGGAAAGCACAACCACAACTCCATACATATATCCCCACCAGTACCCATCCCACTGCCCCTTCTCTTCCCCCACTCACCCCCCATCCCTTCCTCTCACCACCCACCCACCCAGTATCCACCCTCCTTCCTCCCTCCCCCCCCCCCACCTGCACGACGGAGAGCTCCACGGGCACGACGCGCTCCTCCTTGGGCGGGATGTGCTTCATCGTCTCGCGCTTGAGGCGCCTCAGCATGTGCGGCGCCACCATGCGCTGCACCTCCGCCACCTGCCCCGCCGCGTCCATCGCCGCAAACCTCTCTTTAAACGCCGACAGCGACGGGAAGTCCGAGGGGTGCAGGAAGGAGAGGAGGTTGTACATCTCGCCCACGTTGTTCTGCAGCGGCGTGCCGGTGAGCAGCACGCGGTGGTTGAAGGAGAAGGTGTTGAGCAACGTGAACAGCTTGCTCTCGTTGTTCTTCAGCCGGTGCCCCTCGTCCACTATCAGCACCTCCCACGGAATCGTGCGCAGCACGGATGTATCGGCCAGAACCATCTCAAACGTTGTCAGCATCACGTGGAACCGGTACCGCCGGTTCCCACCCCCCGCCCCCCGCGACTTCTCCCCGCTCGCTTTTCCCCCGCCACCCCCGCCGCCGCCCCCGTCTGCATTTCCTGAAGCGAAGAACTCAAAGTCGCGGATAACCCCACGCGCCTTGGCGCTGCCGTGATACTCCACGAGGTTCAGGTGCGGCGCCCACACTGCAAACTCTGCAGACCAGTTGGGCATGGTGGACAGCGGCACGAGCACGAGGCACGGCCCGGGCACCTTGAGCTCTGTCTTCACACACGACAGGTACGACGCCGCAGATATGGTCTTCCCCAACCCCATCTCGTCCGCCAGAATGACGTTGCGACGCCGCGCCCACGAGCGGCGCAGCCAGTTGATGGCCTCTAGCTGATGCGGGAACAGCTTCCCTGCCAGGTTACTCGGTTGCTCCTTCAGGTCGGGTACGGCTGAGGGTTTCCGCGGGACAGAGGGGGTGGGTGGGGCCCTGGCCATGCGCTCGAAGGTCTCGTAGGCTTGGAGGACCTTGGGGTTGGTGACAATGGCAGGGCTGTTCACGTCCTCCCACGTGCATGCATCGTATGGTAGACCGCACCACTTCACCAGCACCTCCCGCTGCTGCCTCTGCAGCTGCTGCTGCGCCCCTTTCCCTCCGCGAGCCGCACTCGCCCCTGCCCGGCCCCCGCCTTTGGCTTTAGATGGCAGGCGCGGGCTGGAGAGGAAGCGGTGGGCGATGATGCGGTGAGGGTGGTTCCACTGCTCTTCCATGAGAGACAGTGGCACGCGCCCGTGGCGCTGCCGGTAGTTGTCCAGCTTGCGCTGGTTCAGCGCTGCTACCTGCTCCTCCGAAAGCCACGTGTTGTGCACATGCGCCTTCCCCGCCCACTTTACTAGATACTCCACCACAGCCTCCTCCTCCTCTTCCTCCTCGTCTCCCTCCTCCTCCTTCTCTTTCCCCTTCTCCTCGCCGCTCTTTTGCTGCTTCTGGTCCCCGTCTTTGCCTTTGCCGGAAGCCTTCTCGTCATCCTTGCTGCTTGTCTCTCCTGCCTTCGCCAACTCCTTGCCTCCCTTCTCATCCTTTCTCTTCTCTTCGCCATCCATATCCTTTGCCTTTTTCTCCCCCTCCCCTCCCTCCTTGGCCCCACTCCCCGACTTGCCTCCTTCTTTCCCACCAGCATCCACTTTAACTTTCTCATCACTCATGTCCTTCTCACCCTTCTCCTTCCCCACCTTCTCCTCCTCCTTCTCCGCCTTCTCCTCCCCTTTCTCCCTCTCATCCTTCCCATGGCTCTCCCCACGACCATCCATCCACGTGGCACGAGCACCACTGCCCCCAACACGAGCCATTCTCGCCCCTGTCTCCCCCTTCAACCCCCTCCCCGCATTGCCTCTCGTCCGTGCACTCGTCCCCTCTCCCCCGTCACCTGCTGCTCCTCCATCCTCCTTTCCCCCTTCTTCTTTCCCTGCTTTCTTCAAATCCAACCCTGCCAAACCAGCATCAGGCCCAGCAATGGCAACACCACCAGTTTCAGCACTCCCACTCGCTGCTGCTTTAGCTCTCACCCGTGCAACCTCCGCCGCATGCACATCAGCACCAGCACCAGCACCAGCATCGCCATCAGCGACACCAACCGTGACCACATCCACCTCCTCCTCCTCCTCCTCCTGCTCCTCCATGTCTGTCGCCCCTTCTACATTCTCCGCAGCACCAGTAAGGAGGCGCCTTTTCTCCTCTTTCCCCCCTCCCTTGCCCTCCTCAGCGCTCCCCTCCACCTCCCCCGCCTTCTTGACAGTACCAGCCTCCTGCTTGCCCCGAATCCTGCACCCAAATATGCGCTCGATCTGGGAAACAAGGGCCGTGCAAGAGGGGGGGGAGCACAGAGGAGAAGGAGAGAGAAACAAGAGTTGGTGGCGGGCGGGCGGAGGAGGGTAGGGGAGAAATCGAGAGTTGCGATCATGGTTCAGTGGTGGATTGGCTTCGAATTCCAGGTGAAAGCAACGTATTTTGAGAGTCACAAGTGCGAGTAACAACACCGCATTCCAGGTGCGACTGGTGGTTGGTTGTGTGAGTGGAAAGGGTACCTCGAGAGTAGAAGCCTCTGTACACACCGAGCAGATCCATGATCCCTTGGGTGCTTTCTGGTCCAACGGGAACAGGGAACGGGAAAGGATGAGAAAGGAGATGGGTGGAAGGGGGGGTGGGAAGAGGGTAGTTCAGAAGATGAGAGAGGATTGACGGCACGTGAAGTGAGGGATAGAGATGGAAAAGAACCGTTTGGCTGATGCAACGAAACCGCTACGCAGATACGATGGAAAGGGGTTGTGAGGGGAACAAAGAAGGATGAGGGGAAAAGGGAGAAGAACAGGCCGAAGCATGGCAAGCGGAGGGGAGCCGGAAAAGAAGGGGTGAGGAGGGTACCTTGAGGGGCGGGGTGAGGCAGAAGAGATGGTAGAGGCGTGGGCAGAGGTCGCAGCAGAGAAGGTACCCTGCATCGCCACACACCGCACACACCCACGACGCCTCCTCATCCTCCGCTGCATCAACCCGGCCCTTCCCCCCATCCGCCAGCCCCCCCACCAAGCTCTCAATCCGCCTCTCCATCCGCCCACCGCCCACCGCCGCCATCCTGCCTCCCCCTGACACCTTCTGCCCTGCACTAGCCGCCTTCCCCCCGCCCACGACCCCCTTCCTCCCCGCCTTGTCCCTCGAAACTTCCAAATCCAGCCCTGACCGCCCCCACACAGCACCCCCGTCCTCTGCACTGTCATCTGAAGCCACCACTACCTCTGCTCCCTCCTCGTCCTCCTCTCCACCCCCATCGTCTTCATCCAACCGCACACACTCCTCCTCCTCCTCCTCCTCCTCCTGCTGCTCCGCCTCCTCCGCTTTCCCCCCACCCGGCCTCTCCTCCTGGTCACTATCATCAGACTCCGCCAGACTGGACCAGCTCGTGCGGGGGGCCTTTCGCCTCTCCCTCGTGCTCCCCAGGAATTTCTGCCCGCCCGGATCTGCCTGCCCGGGGCCTGCACCTGCCCGACGGGCAGCCGCGAGGGAGGCGGGCGGGGGAGAGGAGGTGGGGTGTGGAAGGTCGCTCACCCTGCGACGCTTGAACGTTCTCGGATTGGACAGCGGATGCCCGTGCAGCAGCTGCTGCTGCCAACCCCTCTTACTCCCTCTCACACCCTGCTCGCTCCCTCTCTCCTCATCCCCCCGCTCCCTCCGCTCCTGCCTTTCCCACTCCCTCCCATTCTCCCTGTCATGCGCATCCCTCTCTCTCCCTTCCCGCTTCCCCTCATCCCGCTCCATTGCACCCGTACCAGCTGCAGCAACAGCAGCTCGTGCTTGCTTCTCCGCCGCTGCTGCCCTACACTTGTTGCACTGCCATTCGGGCCTTGCCTTCTCCTTGGGCGCATCAGCACAGCCAGTGTGGTACACACGAGGGCACCACACACAGCGCAAGACAGAGTTATCACCAGCAGCACCACCACCGCCCCCCTCCCTGCTCTCGCGCTTCACAGCTTTCGGGTCTGCAGCAGCTGCCGATGGGTAGGCCGCGGACGGTGATGCGGTGCAGAGCGGTGCATTGCACTTGAAACACTCTGTGTACTCCTGCACGTTGTTGGGGAGACAGGACACAGAGGGGGGAATAACCACAACGAGTGAGATGCATAAGACACAGTTACAACATGAGCCACAAACCACAACCACGCACAGCAAGGACTTCCCTCCAAAACCCACTACCACTCCCAAATAGAGATGAGCAGGTGGCCCGTTCGGGTCGGGCCGGCCCGACCCGACCCGGGGTAAAACCCGGCCCGAGCATGGAACTCGGGCCGGGTTGGGCCGGGTTTTTGGCCCACGTTGACCCGACCCGAATTCGGATCAGGATCTGGACCCGACCCGATTTCGACACAGGGGGGACCCGAAACCCTAACACATTTAATGTCAAGGGTATTTTTTTCCCCTCGACATCAATTCATTCCCGCAAACCTAATATCCTTCCTCCAGCGACCAAAGGCTCCTAGGAACCATAACTACTTAGTTTGCAGCCAAAGAATGATGCGACAAGTTAGAAGTCGACTTTGAGGAGAGGCTCAATGTCGAGAGATCTGTAAAGAGTGGGAGGGGGGGGGGGGTTGCGCATGGTAGATTTAGTGCGGTAAGGAGTGGTGAGCAGAGGCGAATTGGTTGGAAATATTTGTTCCAACACATTTGTTGGAAACGAGTGCCACGGCGAAACTCCCGATCTCCACCAGATCGACCAGCGAAATTGACGATTTACAGAGTTACGCCAACGAACTCACCGATCTGCACAGATTGGCGGGCGAAATCGGGTTTCCTGACCCGACCCGACCTTGGGTCGGCCCGAGCCGAAGTCGGGTCAGGAAAGACCCGGCCCTGTACCCCCGGGTCGGGTCAGGGTATTCAACATCCTGGCCCGAGGTTGGCCCGACCCGACCCGGCCCGGGAACCCGCTTGGCCCGGCCAAGTCGGGTCGGGCCGGGCCAAATGCTCATCTCTACTCCCAAAACCACCCCTATGTCTTACGACCCCTCGCCTTTCTTTAAAGCCCCCAGACTGAGACAAAACTCCAATCTCTAACAGCCTCCCAAACCCCTACCCTCTCCCCACCACACGCCTTGAACCTCAACTCAACTCAGCACCACTGCAACACATACCCCTTTCCCATCGCGTCTCCTCGCCCTCCACGTTGCCCCGTGTGCCCCTTCCACCGGCAGCACCACCTCCTCGTTCCCCAGCCTCGCGCCACCACTCCTGCGCGCCGGCCCTGGCGCTCCCACCAGTGCCGCCAGGCTCGTTCCGTCTGTGTCGGGGTGCTGCTGTGCATGTGCGTCCGCCCATGCGAGGGCTGCACGGAAGAGAGAGCGCAGGCCAGACACACATGGCATGCGCTGGGGGGTTTGGGGTACGGGTGATGTGGCGCAGGGGGGATGGGGAAGGGAAAGGAAAAGGTAAGGGGAAGGGGAAGTGGGAAGGGGAAGTGGGAAGGGGAAAGAAGGGGAAGGAAAAGGGAAAGGAAAGGAGAAGGGAAAAAGAAAGGGGAGGGACGGGAAAGAGGCTATTGGAGCTAGAGGGGAGGAGAAGGTTAACGTACAGATGCTAGCTGAATGCTTGTGTGCGTGTGGGGTAGGCAAAGTAAAGTAGGGTGCCAGGCGGAGGTGCACAGCACGCAGAGGGAAAGCCAGTGAACGCAGCTTACCTGCTGGCCTAGCTGAGTGCGAACAGGCGCGAAGGGAAGGACAAGCACGCTTGAGATTGTGGCCCTGCAGAGAGAAGGGGGAGAGATGGACAAGACAAAGGCAGCGCAGTGCGGACAGGGTTGGGTATAGCAGAGACAGCCGACGCAGCAAGCAAGAGATGGAGTGTGGGCGTGGCGAGTTTGTGGAGAGAGGCATACGCAACTTTGGAGAGCGTATGCTGCACACGCAACTGACCTCTTGCCAATGCGCCCCTGTAACGTTGCTATGCCTTGTTTTCCTGCTGCTGCCGCCTCTACGCCAGTCTGCTCTCCCTTCCCTTCCTCCCGCTCTTCCTTCACATTCGCCCTCTCACCATCCCTTTTCATAAGACCTTCACTAGTCTCCTCCACCTCATCCTCCTCCGCACTACCACCATCACCATCGCACCCCTCGCCCTTTCCCCCCACAAGCACCACCGTCAGAGAACCCTCAGGTGAGTCCCCTTCAGTGGCCGCCTTTCTCCCCCCCTCCTCCCCCTCGTCTTTATGCGTCTGAGCATGCACTTTGCGGACCAGGCCCGGCCACCAAGGCAGTCCCGGCTGCAGCTTCGCCCACACAAGCATCCCATGCTTGTACGCTGCTGCAGGCACTTCCGATGGGATCAGCAAAGCCTCTTCCTCTCCCTCGGCCTCCCCGTCTCCCCTCCTCTCTCCTCCCCTCACTTCCTCCTCTCCATCCGGCCTCCCCTTCCCCCCTCCTCCATGCGCTCTGCTCCCACCCCCTGCCAGCCTTACCCCGCGCCTCCGCTTCGACCCCTGCGGCGCGGACGGAAGCTGCCGACCCTGCTGCCCAGGCTCGGCAGCCCCGTCCCCGTCATTAGACGCAGGGGGGCGGGGGGGGAGGAGGAGCAGTTTGCGGTGTGCAGCGGGGGAGGGCGAGGCGGTGGGCGACTGGGAGAGCGGCAGCATGATGACATCGGACCGAAACTTCTTTGGTGGCAGTGACGACCGCTTGCTGTGGGAGCGAGACGACAGCTGCGGAGATGGGGCTGGGGGAGAGGACCTGCTGAGGGGAAGGAGATGAGGAGGGGGTGGGAGGAATGGGCATGAGACTGGGTCCCTGTGGGAAGAAACAGTGGCAATGAGACATGGCTTGGCTTGGCAGATACGGCGGAAAAAAAACGTGCAGTTCCCTTACGAGCCTGCCAATCGAATGCACGGGCGATAAGTGCATTGTGGGACTATGAGTGGCGACTTACGCTGGTTTGACGGGCTTGGTTGGTGAGTTTCCCTTGGATCGCACCGTTGCTGCACAAGGTAGGATGCACAGCACAAGGAGATATGCACGTTGAGCGGACGTGCATTGGGGGACAGCGGAGAAAAGCAGAGCAGGCACGAACAGCAAAGCAGAAAAACGCAGGTACGGACAGTCGTGAAGATCTTTTGTACGGCTAACAGCACGACGCAAGAGCAAGAGTTGTTGGGTAAAGGTGGAAGGTCAGGTGGTGGTGCTTACCACACATGCCAAGCAGCTTCCTTCTGAGCCATGTGCTGTTGTTGCTCGTGGTCACTTCACCCAGCCGGCTTGTGTACAGTTGCTGCAACAGACGGAGAGAAATAAAGGACAGAGGGATGGACGGGGGAGGTTCACGAAAGATCAAGCAACGAAATGTCAACAAACAAGCTGCCTAGGCTCTGCAGCCCGCGAGGAAGAGCCGAAGCAGTGGTAGGAAGGGCAAGGAGGAAGGAGCGGCGCGGCGTGTTGCACTGACCCGTAACTCCTTGAGTGGCATGTGCTCCAGCTCTGCCGCCTTCAGAGGCGATGGTACGCCCTCTTGCACCTCCTCGTCCTCCTCCTCGTCCCCCTCTTCCGCTTCCTTCTCCCCCTCCCGCCCCTCCTCCTCCTCATCCTCATCCTCCTCCTCCTCTTCCGCCTCCTCCTCTTCCTCCTCCCCCTCCTCCGCGTCTCCATCTCCCTCCTCTTGTTCTGCGGCTATCTCCGCCGCCTCGCCGTCCCCATGTGCCTGTTCCTCGTCGTCCGACTCGTCACTGTCACCTACGCCCGCCCCGGATTCCCCTCCTTCCTCATCCTCCGCAACCCCAACATCCACATCTTCGTCTGCTAGCACTTGAGACAAAAGCTTCGCATTTTCTGATGCTTCTCCCTCTCCGTCCGCAACCCCTTCCCCCTCTAGCTCCTCTTCTTCTTCTTCCTCCTCGTCCTCCTCTTCTTCCTCTTCCTCCTCCTCTTCTTCCTCCTCTTCTTCGTCTTCCTCCTCCCCATCAACTCCCCCCTCCTGCTCGTCCGCCCTGCCACCAACCGCGCGCCCAACGGCGACCGCGCCCAGTCCGCCGCCCAGATCTGTCTCGTCCTCGTCTTCCGCCAACTCGTCCGCCACCTCGTCACCGCTTGACCCATCCCCCGACTCTTCCCCGCTACCATACTCCCCAGACCTCCCGCTCCCGCTCCCTTTGACCGCCATACCAGCCCCTTGCGCGTCCCCTTCCCGCCGATCCGCCTCTCTGGTGATGCCCGGGCGGGAAATCACGAGCTTGTTGCCGCGCCGCGCCACGCCCGCCACCAGCAGCTTCTTGCCGTGCGCTGGGTGCGCCTGAGCCCGCGGACGCGAGCCTTGCGCGTGCTCCCGCCCGCGCCCGCCTTCCTCCTCGTCCTCGTCTCCGTCTTGATTTCCGTCTACGTCTTCGTCCTCGTCTATGTCTTCAGATGCCTGCTCGTCCGCCCCGCCCTCTCTCCCCGCGCGACCTGCGCCAGCCGCACCCTCGTCCCCCTCCTCATCCACGTCGTCTTCCACCTCCTCCTCTTCTTCCTCCTCCTCCACTTCCTCCTCGACCTCCTCCTCCTCTGGCTCTTCGACCTCCTTCTCGTCGTCTGCTTCGTCTTCGATTTCTTGCTCTTCGTCACCTCCGCCCACACGCTCGCCTTTTCGTTCCTCCGCACCTTCCTCCTCTTCTTCCTCCTCGACATCGTCCCCTTCCACCTCCTCCTCCTCCTCTCCATCATCACCCTCCTCGCCTTCACCTCCGTCCCCTCCCCCCTCCTCATCCTCCCCCTCCTCATCCTCGTCCCCCGCATCTGCCTCCCCCTCCACCATGTCCTCATCCTCGTCCTCCTCACCGTCCGCCTCCCCCTCCCCGTCCCCCTCCTCGTCTTCCCCTTCCTCGTCTTCTACCTCCTCCTCGTCCTCCTCGTTCTCCTCCTCGTCATCTTCATGCTCCTTCTCCGACGCATACTGCAATCCCCTCGAGCCTGCGCCTTCTCTTGCACTGCGACCCGGAACCGCATTCGCCGATAGATCCGCGGGACCAGATCGCGTGCCAGCCATGGACGGCGCGCGCGCGGGGGAGCGCGCCAAGTGCCTCCCCCGCGGAGCCTTCCCCTCACCGTCAACGTTCATCGTCCCCCGTGCGACTCAGCACCCGTGTATTCACAAGCAACTGAAAGAATATCGTGATGATCAACCCGCAACGTTATCTTCCCAAGATTAAGACTCCACTGACGAGCGATATTGGCACACCAACCCGAGTCTTTAACCTCCGGAAGACAGTGCCCCGCACGGTAGCCCACAGCGGTTTCCAAGTCCTCGCAATGGTCGAGAAGTTGCTGTGCACTCCCTTGAAAAAATGCCCGACGATCGTGCCGGTCGAAAGTAAGAAGCCGCTTAGTCGATGGTAAGTAGAGACTTCACACCCCAGTTCCACGATGGGCAACCAAGAGGGTGTGCTTACCCTCCAACATCTCCGATTAAAGTGGTCCCCTTAGCGATCCGAGCAATATGCGATCATACGTCACTCGCCGTCAAGAAACTTCGCGACTTTGCCGACAAGCGAAGAGATCCCGCAGGAAGGTGTCTAATAGCCGAACCCTCAGCGCAGGTCGCGGACAGACAGGGACGCCTTAGACGAGCAATTCACGCGACCAAACCCTAGCCAACGACTCTACGAAAGCGATAAGACTTGCGCACATCGCTGCCTCTTCTTCTCCGCTCGTTCCGCCACCACCTGACCTGGCGTGCAGCGCGCCACGGCCAGGCTGTGGGGTAGGATAAGCAGATGGGGGAGGTTGCGGTGGGGGAGATTCCGTTTGGCGGAATCCCCATGCCACGTGGCTAATCCTCCCATCAAATCACTGTTGCGGAGGTTCGGAAATCGCAAGTTCGGCCGTGCGAAGCTGAAGCGACGTTTCGCGGTGGGCGGATTCATCGCACGCAAGGGCAACGAGGGGTGACCTTGCGGAAACGCGCGCAGATCTTGCGCAAGGTGGCACACCTCGTCCGCCAGATATTCCCGAGGGGGAAAGGCGACCAACATCCACCGCCATCGCCACTGGCGTGGGGACCCGCAAAGATGGAATGTGCTACAATTTGCACTGTCGAAGGAATCATCAGCCCTTACATAAACAATTTGCGAAATGTATACAGTCGCACTGAACAAAAGTGTTCACTTACGAAAAATGGTTCTGGCAGCAGACCCAAGCTGAGCGACCGGCTCGGTTCCGAGCCTATAATTTGAATGGCAACGAAACGAGCCAGTCAGAAGCAAGACTGCCGAAGCGCAAGCCTACAAGAAAGCAACTCCGAACCGCGCTTCTGATTCCGCCACCCTGTCATCGTCGATCTTGCCTTGAAGTGCATCTGCCGCAGATCGACGGCGTACAAGTATGCTCGGTGCAACTAGCGCGCAGTGCCAGCAAGATTCATTGGCTCTCCTAATCTCGCGGCTTTTTCCCAAATGACTACCACTGGGCTTGGTCGGTGTAAATGGTGGCGGGGTTGAGTGACCCAGTCAGTGTCCATGGCGGCGAAAGTCTCACATGCCTGCCCCACAGTTGTAAAATAAGCAAATCCGAGTGTGAAAGTCCACCGACCGTCTTCCGATAGCAGTTCCCTGTGTAATTTCCTTAGAGAGGAATCAGTTCACCGTAAGCAGTCGCTACTTGCGATCAGGAACGACTGCGTTCCACCACGAAAGTGAGACGATCAGATCTGCCAACCTTGAGAACGCCATGTCGCTCGCCCATATTCCAACGGTAGACGTGTGCTTTACATATAGACCACCAACTCTCGCGGCTTTAGGTGTTGAGTGCCTTTCCACGGCACACCCTCAGTGTTTTAGTGCTCACTTTCCTTAACTCTCTTCGCTCGGAGCGAGCATCGAGCAGGCAGACCCCGGTGTTTTATCCCCGATGCGGCCTTTGCGATGACACGCATCTGTTCATCCGCGCAACCACCCTTTCCTCTCCTCCTGCTCCTCCTGCTCCTCCTAAATAATTTCTCAAGAAACGTTGCTTTGGCGGTTCCATCAGATCCACCCGCCGTCGACAGCGGCGCCGAGCGCGCGGTCATATCCGCAGGCGTTGACGATCCGCAGTCAGACCACGGTGTGGGTAAGTGGAGGCAGCTTTTCGTTCGACTATGACCAATCCGAGGTTGCGTCATCATCGCCCTTTCAATCGCCTTCGTGCTACCCTGCTTAGCTGGATGGCCCGCTAATTCCAAAAACGACAAGCAGCCCGTACCGCTTCCCCCCAGGCACGATTGTAGCTTGTAGTACGCGGATCGCGCTGTTTATGATCGTAGCGCGTTCCGCCTCACTCCCGCGCCGACGACCTTCTGTGCGTTCTGTACCCCATCCCTTCCCCTTCCCCACACACTCCACCCCCTCACCCTTCCCCCTTCCCCCGTCTCCTTTCCCCTTGTCTTTGCCCCAGCGGAGCCGGCGGAGGGTAGCAGAGCGGTGTGCAGGTTCGACGGGGCAACAGGCACCTTCTCACACGAGCCGTACAAACCAACCAGGTACGAAGCGGATAGGTATCGTCGGACAAGGGGATGGTCTTATAACGAAACGCGCAGTATCCTCCATTGGAGGCCATGAAGCGTTGTCTTTCGGTACTGGGTGTCCTCTGCATCTCGTGACCCGTGTGTCTTCCATGGCACAGAAGCATTGTCTTTTAGTGCAGCAGAATGTGCTGAACTGGGCTGAAGAGCTTTTAACGCGCCTGCTGGCCCCTCAAAGCAATCAGTGGCACACTGTCTGTGCACTCTGCTCTGTTGCCCTTTCGCTTCTCTCACCCCTCCCTCAACCCCCCTTTATGATCCCTTCTCTTACGCCAGCACTCTTACCTCAGACGACTCCTGGGCACCACATGGCACCGCGCTGCATCTCTCTGGATCCTGCCGTTTCCTCTTGAACGCCTCCTGCGCTGTGGTTGCCGTCTTTCCAGGTAGCTGCCCTCCTCCCCCCCAGCCTATTCCAGCTTCGTAAACTGGCTGCCCACCGCCCGCACCATAGTCGCAAGCTTCAGACCTCGTACATCTTTTCTTGCGCTACAGCCATCTACCCAAAACTTTCACACACACTCCCATCTCATTTCATGTCTTATCCCTCCATCCCTCCATCCCTTTCTCCAGAACCGTGTGACGACAAGGATCCCTGCACTCTCGACGCCTGTGCCTGGCACGGCCATGGCCCCTTGTCCCTCTCACGCTGCCTGCCCCAACCCCACTGCTTCTTCCACCCGCCCCGCTGCACGCACACCCCTCTCCCTGACTGCACGCACAGTACCACCACCGTCACCACTGCCACCACCACAACCGTGTCTCCCCTTCGCCTGCTCTCCTCCTCCTCGCCCACTCCCAAGCTCAATGCCTTGCCGTCTGAAACTACCACTTCGCTCGCTCTCCATGCCCAACCACACACCCGTGCCCTCCCTCTGCTCTACCCCCCGCCCGCACCTCTTGCCCCATCCCCACCTGCGCCCCACGACTCCCACATGGTCCTAGCACGCTCCCTCCAGCCACACAACCTCGACTGTGCATTCCACTCCCACCCTCCGCCCTCCACTCGCCCCTCCTCTGCACCCCCTGCACTCCCATCTCTACCCTCCCTCCCCAGCCGCACACCCACCAGCACACTCCACGCCATGCCCACCTGCCCCTCGCCCTTCTTCCCGTCTGTCTCATCCAATCCCCTCTCGTCCCCCTTTCCCCTATCTCTCCCAAACATGCTGGTACGTTCATCCCTCCCATGGGGCCTCCTCCCTCTCAGCACCATACCCCTGCCCCCACACCAACTGCCCTCGTCCACAGTAGCTCGCCGGGAAGCCATGGAGGGGAGCAGGTTGGCGGAGGGGCGGGGGAGTGGTGGTGCGCAGCTGCTTCCGCACCACATGCACTTGCATCCCCCATTGTCTCGTCTTCCGCCTGTGGCACGGTCGCCACCACTGCTGCTGCTGCCGCTGCAGCTGCCAAAACTGCAGCAGGAGGAGCAAAGTGAGGGATTTGTGCTGTGGGAGCCGCAGATGGAGGAGGAAAGGGAGGCGGAGGGGGAGGGGGTGGGTGGTGGGGAAAGGCAGGAGGAAGAGGAAGAAGGGGAAGGAGGAGGGGGGGAGGAGAAGGAGGAGGAGGAGGAGGAGGAGGAGGAGGAGGAGGAGGAGGAGGAGGAGGAGGAGGAGGAGGAGGAGGAGGGGGGAGGGGGGGGGAGGAGGAGGGGGAGGAGGAGGTGGGCGGGAAAACGAAACAGGAAGAGCAGCAGCAGCAGCAACAACAGCAGGAACAGGAGCTTCAGCAGCAGCAACAGCAACAGCAGGAGCAGCAGCAGCAGCACCAGCAGCAGGAGCAGCAGAAACAACAGCAGGAGCAGCAGAATCAGGAGCAGCAGAAGCAGGAGCAGCAGCAGCAGCAGCCGCAGCAGCAGCAGCAGCAGCAGCAGCAGCAGCAGCAGCAGCAGCAGCAGCAGCAGCAGCAGCAGCAGCAGCAGCAGCAGCAGCAGCAGCAGCAGCAGCAGCAGCAGCAGCAGCAGCAGCAGGAGCAGCAGGAGCAGCAGCAGCAGCAGCAGCAGCAGCAGCAGCAGCAGGAGCAGCAGCAGCAGCAGCAGCAGGGGCAGCAACAGCAGCAGCAGCAGGAGCAGCAGCAGGAGCAGCAACAGCAGCAGCAGCAGCGGGAGGGTGAGGGGGGGGCAGGGGAAGCCCATAGCGGGCTTGCATCCATCGCATCTGTAGACCCCTTGCAATCACGTACCCACAGCACCACCTCCTCTCTGGCTCATAAACCACCCCCCCCACTCCCCCCAACCACATCCCCCCCACCACCCTCTCGTGACTTCTTCAGCTAGCACAGCAACAGCCAGCAACACACACCATCCATCCTCTGCCACTTTCCCCAAGCGCAAACACGCACACCCGCCTCTTGCACCTCTCTCCCCGCGCACCACCCATCGCACGGTGTCATCCTCTGCGCGACTGCCCCTCATATCCCCCTCCTCCCCGTTCACCAACTCCCTCCGCTGGCCCCGCTCCCCCCCACCCTCTCTGCACCGCCCTCGCCCCCGCACGTCTCGCTCTCCTCTCTCTCCCCCTCCCAGCTCCTCCTCACACCATCCCTTCTCGCGCCCTCCCAGCCCTGTTGCTCCCAAACCCCATCCTTCCAAGCTGCTTCCTCCCAAGCCTCATGCTCCTAAACCCCCGACCCATCGAGCAGCTGCGCTGCTTAAAAAGCCCCCGCCACCCCCCAGTGCCCCTCACTCCAGAGCCGAAGTAGACTCGAAGCAATCATACGACCCGTTACCGTTCGCGTGGGACCGCCCCTACTTGTCCCCAGCCTCGCCCCGCCACGCCCCCAGACGCCACTCCTCACGGCACCCACCCCCTCCTGCCAAGAGGACGGGTCGTGCAAAGCACAAGAAGCGCAAGCCCCCGCCAGCAGTTGGAGCAGATGCAACGACAGGGAAGAAGGCCCCAAGGGCACGCCAGGCAAACCCACCACCTCCACCAGCACCTTTGGTTCCGCCCACACGACCACCAGCAGGCACTGCAGCACCACCTGGTGCGCCGCCTTCAGGGGAGCGACGGGGACCAGCAGCACCAGGCAGGCCGCGAAGTCGTAAGAGGCCGCCACTGCCTGGAGCAGGTGGAGGGTCAACCACCGCCTCGCCACCTCCCTCCTCGCGCTCCCCCTCCCTTTCTCTCCGCCCCCGTGCTCCCCCCCGGCCTTCTCCGCCTCGCCTACTTGCACCTCCCCCTCCGCCGCCCCCGCCTCCTCCCAGGAGGCGCAAGCGGGGAAGGAAGAGACCCAGACCCCCGCTCCTCTTCCCTCCTCACTCTCCTCCTCCTCTTCCTCCTCTTCCTCCTCCCCCTCCTCCTCCTCCGCCTCCTCGTTCCCCTCCTCCCGCTCCTGCTGCTCCACGTGCACCGCAACGCCCCCCGCCACCGAGGGGTAACGCCAAGCCAGTACCGCCAGAAGTGGAAGGCAGCAGCGTGGAGGGAGGGAGCAGTGGCGGCAATGGCAGCAGCACCACCAGTGGCAGCACCACCACCAGTGGCAGCACCACCACCAGTGGCAGCACCACCACCAGTGGCAGCACCACCACCAGTGGCAGCAGCGACAACGGCAGCGGCAGCAGCAACCAAGAATCACCCCCTCCTGTGTTCCTTCCTGCGCCTCCCATGTCTCCCCCGTTACCTCCCCAATCATCTTCTCCATCCCCACTCCCCTTTCCCTCGCCTCCGTCCTCATCTCCTTCCTTACTTCCTCCTCTCATGCCCTCTCCTCCCTCCTCTTCCCCCCTTGTCACACCGCCTCCCCTCCCGCCGCCATCCCCCTTGTCGACTCCCAAGCCCCCCACACGCCGCCACCCTCCTCTCCGCCCCCCACCACCACCTATTCCCACTCCTGCTCCCCCTCGCCCAGCTAATAACACCCCCGCTTCCTCGCTTCCTCCCTCCTCTTCCCCGTCCCTTTTCCTCTCGCCTTCTCCACCACCGCCCTCAACCCTTCCACCACCCCCTCCTGTGCTCCCCCCTACCAGACCCCCACCCGGACCTTCTCCCAGACCCCCTCTCAGACCCCCTCCCAGGCCTCCTCCTCCCTCCAAGCCCCCCCTCAGTCCACCCCGCCTCCCCCCACCAAGATCCCCTCCTAGCCCACCCAAGGCCCCCCCCTCCTTCCCCACCACCCCACCCCCCTTCACCCCCACCCAAGCGCCGCCACCCCGCTCCACGTCCCCCTCGCCCCCCTCCCCCCCCCCACGACCCCCACCACGCCGTCCCCCTCTCCGCCCCCCTCCCCGTCGCCCTCCCCCACGCCCGCCCCCACGCCCCCCTCCTCCAAAGCCCCCATCTCCCCCCCCGCCCATCCTCCCTTCCCCCGAGGGCGTGTTCAACGTGAGGGCGTTCGGGGCAGTGGGGGACGGGAAGGTAGACGACACAGACGCCATGAGCCGTGCGTTTGCAAGGGCGTGCGAGTACGATGGGGGGCGGCAGGGCAGGCGGGCCACGCTGCTGTTCCCGCGGGGCTTCACATTCTTCATGAAGGGGCGCAACGTGGTGTGGCAAGGGCCATGCCAGAGCGGCGGACTCGTTTTCAAGGTCAGCTGCACCTTCCAGGTGGCTGTTTTCTTGTATATCTCGCTGTCATGCCCTGCCATGACATGACATGCCCTCGCTAGTTAACCCAACGAACATGGACCATCCCGGACCATCCCGTATCCACACTTGTCATGCAACTCTTCGTGCACTCATTGCACATTCTGCCCTCTCCCCACGCTATCCCCTCCCCACTCTCCCCACACACCACGCGCCCAGGTGGAGGGCATGATATCAAGCTACCCGCGCGGGGTGTCGTACCTGACGCCCATCATCAACCTGCTCTCCATCCCGCGCCTCCTCGTCACCGGCTCCGGGCGCATGGACGGCCAGGGCTACGAGGTGTGGCCACGTGCGGCGCGGCGGCCATACCTGCTGCAGCTGGAGAACTGCACGGATGCTGAGGTCACCGGCATCACCATCAGGTGCATGAGGCTGTGCTGCTCGGCAGTGCCACTTGCCCTGCCCTACTCATGCCCCAGGTGCGTCTGCCTCTCAGATGGATCTCGTACAGGTGAATCTGGTTCAGGTGGATTTGGACCCGGTTACATCACAACCTGAGGTCTCCGGTTCCCCGCATCCCTCTTCCCCCGTCGCAACCCCTCCATCAATGAACCCCGCAGCAATCCAGCGAAGGTGCATCTGAACATCCGGTTCTGCGAGCGCGTGTGGATCCATGACTTTGAGACGCGCACGCCGTACAACGGCGGCAACACGGACAGCATCCACATCGTCTTCTCCTCCGATGTCCTCATCGAGGACTGCACCCTGCACGGCGGTGAGGCCCCGCTGCTGCTGCCACAGGGGGGAATGTGGGGGGGAAAGAGGGATTAGGAGGTGCGAGGTTCCGAACGGGATTGGTGGAGAGTAGGGGAGTCGTCGTGTGTGTGGTTGTTTAATCACGCTCTATCCAATGTAGCGCTCCCCCTCGGCCTGTGTGTGGTGCATGTGTGTGAGTGCAGGGGACGACAATGTGTCGATAGTGGGCAGCTCATCCAACATCCTCATTCAGAACGTCATCTGCACTGCCGGCCATGGCATCAGGTACACTCATGCTCACCCTCAACCTCACACCCACGCTCACCTCACACTCACACCCACACCCACACTCACCCGCACGCCAATGCTGCATGCTTTCTCAGCAGTCACCTGCATCCCCACTCTCAACACCTTCATCATGTGCGTTATGTGCGAGAGCAGCTCCCAACTCTCCCTCTCTCCCTCTCTCCCTCTCTCCCTCTCTCCCTCTCTCCCTCTCTCCCTCTCTCCCTCTCTCCCTCTCTCCCTCTCTCCCTCTCTCCCTCTCTCCCTCTCTCCCTCTCTCCCTCTCTCCCTCTCTCCCTCTCTCCCTCTCTCCCTCTCTCCCTCTCTCCCTCTCTCCCTCTCTCCCTCTCTCCCGCTCTCTTCCCCGCCACCAGCATCGGCAGCCTGGGGAACTACGGCGCGCTGGCATGCGTGAGCAACGTGACGGTGCGCAACGTGCTCATGGCAGGGCTGCAGAACGGGCTGCGCATCAAGACGTACGAGACGGGGCAGGGCGCCGTGTGGAACATACGCTACGACAACATCACCATGGTGGACGTGGGTCGCCCTATTATCATCGACCAGGTGCCACCCGGGAGGAACAGGGGGGTCGGGGATGCAGCCTTGGTTGTAATTTAGCAGCGAGTTACTCGTGGCTATCGTTGCGAACGAACTCCCTCACGTACCTCGTTTCTGTATCCATTGTACCGTATGGGTACTGGATGCGGCAGCTGCATGACAGGCACCTCTCCTTGCTAGCCCATACCCAAGCTATGTCCTCCTCCCGACTCCCTTCTGTCACCCCTTTCTATCGCCTCCCACTCCGTCTCACCCAGTACTACTGCGAGCGGGAGCCGTGCGATGACGGGCACAGCGGCATTGCGGTGTTCAACGTGTCCTACTCGCGCATCCGCGGCACCACCAACGGCAGCGCCGTGGGGGGCATTGAGTTCCGGTGCAGCAACCACGCGCCGTGCGGGCAGATCTCACTCTGGGACGTGCATCTCCGCCATAGCAAGTCCAAGGTGCAGCTCAAGCCGCTCTACATGCATGCGTATGGCAGCAGCAGGAACGTGCAGCCATGGAGTGAGGAGAGCTCGGGCACGTGGGCCAAGACGAGCCTGTCCAAGGCTGCAGCTGGCCGAATCACCGGCGAGTTTGGCAAGTGTGGCGGGTGAGTGGGCCCGGTCTGTGACAGCTGCTTCCCGCTTCCCTGCTGCAGTGTCTTGCCTGTCAACTTGTTCTTCCACCTGCTCCACTTCAGATATGAGGTTTGCCACACTATTTATTATTCAACAACCTCGATCCCTGTGCCATGTGCTGGTATGTGTGCCTTGCCAGAAGTGGATTTCCTTGGACCAAGTTACCCTCGACGCGCATAGTCCTTCCCCCATCAGCAGCTGCTGCATCTGTCCCTCTTGATGCGTGATCCCTCCGCATGCCGCTGCTTCAAGCTCTAGGGCATCGCTCTATCCTCAAGAGGGCCCCTATTTCCGCAACAGTTGCATAAGTTGTCTCCATTGACACAGCTCCACAAAGCACTTGGCATCCTGCCACACAATGGTCATTCATTCAGTCTTCACATAACTGGATGAACAAGCATGTTAGTATCCCGTGCATGTTATGGTATCAATTTTGCAATCCCGATTGGTCACCAACCAAGTGGTGTTTATGCCCCCCCCTGCCTAAGCGTCTCCTCCTGCCCGTTTGTCTCCCTCTGTTTTTTAATCTCCCTCCCTATGCCCATGCGCCGGTGGTACCGTAATACTGATATCGGAATTTGGATCCATTGTAGTAATTCCGACATGTCAACCATTGTGATGCGCTAAATGATTGTCTTTGTGACATAACTGAAGAAAGAGTGCAAGCCGAACAGCCACAACAAGGAATGTATTCAAAGGCACGTAGAAAAACGTTACTGAGCTGGAAACGGTTACTGATGTTGGAAACATATGGTTCGCGCTTCTGATGTGTCTATCACTACAACGTAAGCGAAGCAAACTACAACGAAGCAACAGCGAGTCAACCAAAGTGGTTGACAGAAAGACAACAGCAAGAGGTTAAGCGAAGGTCAAAGGTCAGCGACCTTTGACTCGCCGAAAAGCAGCACGACAGCAAAGACACATAACTGACTCGCTATTGAGCAGTTACCCGAGTCGTCGCTGTATCGAACCGCAACAGCAGTTACAGTTAGTTAAACCTTTCATATTCATTGTAATCATATGAAGCCTTGTATCTCTTCGCTATTACGGTATTAGCTTATCTTGTTCTCACATACCAGTGCAAGGTGGTTCAACCAGTTCACTAATACACTTCCGCTAATACATCACTCATTTGAGCCTTAGTCTTGAAAACGATCCTAAGGGCTTTTCTCAGCCCAGCATGGTATGAGAGCTAGCAAGACAAAACTCAACTCTGGCATGGCAACACAGAAAGAAAGAAGTTCGTCTACTGGATCTCCCGGCACTGCTTCTACTCCACCGCCAGCCTCTGGACTGCAGACAGAAGGAGGCACAACTCAAAGACCAGCTGCTGAGTCAACTGAAACTCCTGCGAACCAAGCAACCGGCTTCGACCCAAGTATGATAGAGAAGTTCTTCTCCTTCATGTCGTTCTACGAGCAACATCAACAAGCGGCACCTGCGCAGTCAAACAACAGCGACAACAACAACGGAGTTACTCCCATGAGTCTTGACGGCTCATCTTTTGTGCGCGGAAATCAACAGCCTACCTTCACACCATATGAGCCTCAACGCGGCTCCGTCATCTTCATGCCGAATCGACTCCCACCTGTACAAGAGACGAAGACACTGGATGCACTTCAGTTGCAGTCACAATTCGCACACGTGCTGAAATTGCAAACATCAACCCCATTTGACGGAAAGGACTTCTACACCTGGTCCTTCAAATTCGAGCTGATGATGGAAGGCGCTCAAATTCTTGGCTTCTTCGACGGCACCCTGCCATACCCAACGCACGGGACACGGTACAACAAGCAGCAGTACACGTATCAGTCACTAATGGCGTACACCATACTCCGGCGAAACATAACGGCAAACGAGCAGCAGAACATCCAGTCTTATCGCGGATACGGAAACTCCGCCGAGCTCGCGTACAACCACCTGAAGAACCTGTATCAAGCAACCAACAGCGTTAATCAAAGTCGTCTCATGGAGCAATTGACAACGGTCCAAATGCAACCCGGCGAAAAGGGAATTGCATATATCAATCGTTGTCGCGGTCTGCGCGATAGACTCCTTCGATGCGGCGGATCAATATCCGAAGAAGCTTTTGTCACTGTCATCATCACAGGCCTCGGTCCTCAGTGGCGCTCCACCCGGGCCATTCTTCGAGCCCATGGAAGCCTCTCCGAAGCAAACCTCTGCGCCGAAATTCACGCCGAACAACAAGACATGGACCTGCACGAAGAACGTCACAAGAAAATGGCATCAGCACCAGAGTTCGATTTTCACACTCAACGCCGCAACAACAACAACAACCGGCAGAACGAGCATCAAGTACAAAGATACGTACCACCATTCTGCCACCTCTGTTGAACTTCTGGACACTCCCGTATTCACTGCCCGAATCAACAACAATCGACACCACCACCACGTCAGCTTCGACGTTCAAGTAGTCAAGTGGCTTCCACACAGCCGCATCCTCCCAACCAGGCGCCACCTTCAACGACAACATCACGACCTGCACGAGGAACAAGAAATATCATAAGTTGCATGACAAGAACGGACTCCTGCATCACCGGTTCACCACCGACCTACTGACCAGAAGAACTGCTCGATGAAAGCATGCCTCGTCGCGAATCGCTGGAACCAAATCCGACGTACGCAACTATCGCACAGAGCGAACCGTCCGGTCAAGATACTTGGTTCTTGGACAGCTGCTGTGGACAACACATGTGCTCGTCAAACCGCTTCGTCCAACGGGAACAACGCCTCAACCGGGAAGTCGTGATAACCGTCGCCAACAACCAAAACCTGCGCACACGACGACAAGGAGTAGTTCAACTTTAGTCTTGCGAGACTAACGTCGTTTTACAGGTGTCGAAGGTTTTGATTGCAGAAGGACTGGGCTACAACTTACTCAGCGTCAGACAACTCATGGCAAAAGGGATTCATCTCGAGGCCGACAGCACCACTCATGAATTCAAGCTGTACAACAGGAAGGGTGGACTTTACATCGGGAAATTGGTCCTGAATAACAACGTTTTCCTCCTTGACTTCGTCCCAGATCAAGGAACTGCTGACACCGACGCGATCGTCAACTTCACCACTTGGTCGCACCCACCAGATCTTGACCTAGACTTAAGCCCCGGAGGCTTGTGGTACTCACACACTATACCTGAACCAGAACGGACAAGGGCGTTAGCGGTGATTCAATAGACAACACCAGCAACAACAAAATCGGCAGCAGCAGAGACAACAGCAGCAGAAGCGACATCGGCAGAAGCTGAAGTAACAACAATAATACCTGTCAAACATATATGCTATAGTCTATCTAGGCTGTAGTGGGGTAGTTCATATAGGGTACAACACTTTTAGGTTTCCTACTTGTACCCACCTGCTTCCTAGTTCATTCATTCCGTTCCTGATTCTAACATGGTATTATGAGCAGGTTCCCTAGTGGGAACGTTTTTTTTTAGGGCCCACCACGAACTTTTGTTTTTTCCTGCCCTGCCCGAAGCGCGTTTTTTTTTGCGCCTGCCCCTGCTACCGTCGTGGCCCCTACTGCCGTCGCGGCCCCTACTGCCGTCGCGGCCCCTACTGCCATTGCGGCCCCTACTGCCGTCGCGGCCCTTGCTGTCGTCGCGGCCTCTGCTGCCGACGCGGCCCCCACTTCAGTCGCGGCCCCCTTGCTGTCGCGGCCCCTACTCCCGTCACGGCCCCTACTGCCGTCGCGGCCCCTGCTGCCGACGCAGCCCCTGCTGCCGACGCGGCCCCTGCTGCCGTCACGGCCCCTGCTGCCGTCACGGCCCCTGCTACCGTCGCGGCCCCTGCTGCTGTCGCGGCCCCTGTTGCTGTCGCGGCCCCTGCAGTCGCGACCCCTCCTGCTGTCGCGGCCTCTGCCGTCGCGGCCTCTGCCGTCGCGGCCTCTGCAGTCGCGGCCCCCTTTCTGTCGCGGCCCCTACTGTCAAGGCCCCTGCTGTCGCGGCCCTGACCTAAACCGCCAGCTGCGGCCCTGCCCTGCACCCGCCCCTTGTAAGCACCCGCGCCTCCCTGCCGCCTGCTGCCCTGCCGCGCCGCGCAGCTTGCTGCCGCGCCGCGCCGCCCTGCCGAGCCGCGCTGCTCAGCCGAGCCGCGCCGCCCAGCCGAGCCACGCCGCCCAGCCGAGCGAGCCGCCCAGCCGAGCCGCGCCGCCCAGCTGAGCCGCGCTGCCCTCCTTCTTGCACTGCGCCTGCTGCTACTGCTGCTTCTGCTGCCTCTGCTGCTCCTGCTGCTACTATTGCTACTGCTGCTACTGTTGCTACTGCTGCTACTATGGCTAGCCCTACTGTTCTCACCTTTGATGCTGAGGGGCGTGCAGCTGACTTTGACGTGTGGGTTGACGACCTCCAGCTCTTTCTTCAGTGTGACTCTAGGGATGGGGTATCCCTTTTCGATCACACGTCCGGTGTCTCCACTGCTCCTGCTGCCACTGCTGACAGTGATGTTTGCTCGCAGTGGACCACTCGTGACGCTGTTGCTCGCCTTGTTGTTCGCAGTCACCTGCCGCCTGCTGAGCGCGCGCATTTTGGCCAGTACAAGACTGCAGAGTCTTTGTACGACGCTGTAGTTGCGCGCTACTCCTCCCCTGCCACTGCTGCCCCCGCCTCATGCTGCCGTACCTCTTCCCTGACCTTGCCGCCTTTGCCACAGTCGCTGACCTCATTACTCACCTCCGCACTAGTGACGCCCGCTACCGCGCTGCCCTTCCCACTGAGTTCTGTGCCAAGAACCCCCCCCCCATGTACATCACCCTTTACTACCTAGTCACCCGCCTCCCTGACTCCCTTGCTTCAGTCAAGGACCACTTTCTCTCCCTTTGCCCCACCGAGCTCACTGTCGACCTGCTAGAGGAGCGCCTCGCTACAGCTGAGAAGAGTATCTTAGCTGTAGGTGCTTCTCGCGTCGACCGTCGCACCCCTTTCTTTGAGGGGTGTTCCCCTGTCCCCCTTCTCCTCTCTGTTGCTTCTGCTGCCGCTGTCGACCTCGTTGGCACTGAGGAGGTCGGGGCTGCGTCTGCTCCTAGTGGGAGGCGCCGCAACAGCAAGGGCAAGGGGAGCAAGGGTGGTGGAGGGGATGGCGGGGGCGGCGGCGGAGGCGGTGGAGGAGGCGGAGGGGGTGGCGGTGGAGGTGGGGGTGGTGCCGGGAGTGGGGGCTTCAGTGGCGGCGGTGGAGGTGGTGGAGGCAGCGGCGGAGGTGGTGGAGGCAG